TCTCCAGTTTCAGCTGAAGACATTTCCCTGGGAACCATGTTATTCTTGAAACACAAGTTTCAGAGGGATAGTCATGCTCATCTGAAACTTTAGAAAAAACGTGTGGTCCTGTAGCACTTAACAGACTAACAAATATATAGCCATAGAATCATGAATTTTATTGGGCAAAACCCACTTCCTCAGATGAAACAGGAATCTATCTATCTATCTATCTATCTATCTATCTATCTATCTATCTATCTATCTATCTGCCTTAGTCTCTAAAGGTGCCACAGGACTACTCGTAGTTTTAAAACACAAGATGTGTCTTGGAAAATTCAAAACATTTTTTACCTCAGTTCATTTTTCAGGTTTCCACAATTTATCTGCCATGGGCCAGTTTTCACTGAACTAAAACTGGCTGGTTCCTTTGGACTGGCAGAAGGGTGACATGAAGATGTTCCCAAATAAAAAAGTTTGGGTTTCACACAACTGCTGTGACAAAGTCCCTTGTTCTCAGCTGGAGGAAATAAAATACCCCCTCCCGCCATCGCTCCACCGCAAAGCTCTAAATGGTCGAGTGAGCGCTGTGACCAGTCCTGCAGCGTTCCCTTCGTAACTCACGTCTAGTATGAAATGGCCCCCAGCTAGCCGCCCCTAAGTACATTTAATTGGAGTAACACACTCACCGTGCTGGGCTTCCTAGCCTGGGATCTATTTCACCGCCAGGATTTTCAGTCACTGCCTAGTTGTAGACTGGCCTACAATGCCCCTCCAGCATGTCTTGTGAGCTGCTGGGTCTCTGCAGTTCCTGGCAGGCAGGGTCCTGCTCCTCAGCCGGCCGCACCCAGCTATCCTCCTCGGGCAGGCTTCTCTGAGAGGCAACAGAGTAAAGTGGAGAAATCCCCCCCTGCTCTGAAACTTCTCCCGGCCCGGGCTCACTGCGAACAGGGCCCCAGCTTGTTCTGGGGCTAAATAGCCAACTCTGGTCTCCAGGGCGGGGAGATTTCATCTCAGCAGCAAACCGCCTGCCAGGCTGGTCCCGCCGCCTCTGCACCCCCAAGGGGAACCGCCCCACGTGTCCTGTGATAGCAGCGGCCCTTCAAAAACTCTGGCTCCAGGCTGAAGCCCAAGGGGGACTGAAGATATTGCTGAATGAACTCCCCGGTCACAATTAACAAGCACTGGGCTCAGGCCGATGATCAGGCTGGGCCATCGGTCACTGAGTCCTGGCCCAGGCTCAAGACACAAATAGTTTACAGGGCTACGGGACCACGCCCTTATTCGGGGTGAGTCAGCCAGCAGGCAATTCCCAAATGCCAGTCAGTGAGCCCAGGCCATGGTTTGGAGTGGGGCAGTGACTAAGTTCTCAGACCCAGGCCCCAGTTTAGGGCAGGGCAACAAACCAACAGTTAATAGCCCAACGTAGAGCGAACCGGCGGATCTCTGTGACTGTGTGGAGGTCTGGCCAATGCTGGCTGTTGGCCTGGAGCACCCAAGGCAGGAGACTGCCAGCCAGGAATGGCGTCTCCAGGGGGGATGCAGCCATCCCACTTCAATGCATCCAGGCCCAGGCCCATAACTGTACCAGAGTGGTGTACTGCTGGGTCAGCGAGGGTCTGAACTGCACCATGCAGTCCCTGGCTTTGGCTCAGCCAAGCTGCTGTCGGCGATCCCTGAGCTGCTTCCATTTCTCCTGAGCACGTGCCTGGCTCCAAGGCAGGTTCTCTCAGGGCTGGAACCTCCAGCACGTTGAGCAAATCCTCCAGGCCATAGCCCAGCTGGGTCCAGTCCTTAGGCCCAGCTCCCCACTTGGGAACACAAGGAAGGCTCCTGATTCCTCTGGCAGCTGGGGGCTGATGGACCTCTCAGGCTGGTCTTATACAGTTCGGGCCCTCCTCCTGACGTTTGGTCAGGTGATGAGCTGGGGCCATGTGCTGCCCACCAGGATTCTGGGAGGTGCTCTTCCCCCGCTGGGCCGTGGGTGCCCCCTCCGCCCCACTACAATGTATTTTGGAGATTTTGTGCATATGTCTGTCTGTGAGTCCTTCTGTCTGTCTGTTGGCAAGTCCACTTAGACACATAGACTCATAGACTCATAGACTTCTAGGTCAGAAGGGACCATTGTGATCATCTAGTCTGACCCCCTGCACAGTGCAGGCCACAAAATCTCACCCACCCCTCCTAGAATAATCCTCTCACCTATATCTCAGATATTGAAGCATTCAAATACTTTGAAGACCCCAAGATGCAGAGAATCCTCCAGCTGTGATCTGTACCCCATGCTACAGAGGAAGGCGAAAAACCTCCAGGGCCTCTGCCAATCTACCCTGGAGGAAAATTCTTTCCTGACCCCAAATATGGTGATCAGCTAAACCCTGAGCATGTGGGCAAGACTCACCAGCCAGACACGGAGAAAGTTCAAGAACTCCTCCTAAAGCCTATTTCCTCTTCTCCTAACTGAATGCAAAGTCAGAGTTTGGTTGTGCCAGGGCAATGAGAAGTGCCTGGAGTGGGACTGGTTTCCATAACATGGAAAGGGAGGGGGATGATCGGAGTGACAGCAATACTCCAGTATGACCACTGGGGGCAGCGAGTGCAGGGGAGAGCAATACTGCACAATGACCACAGGAGGGTGGCAACACATATGACCACTGGGGGCAGCGAGTGCAGGGGAGAGCAATACTACACAATGACCACAGGAGGGTGGCAAGAGACTGGCCAGCTGGGGACGGAGCTTCCCACGTTGTCGTCCACCGGACCAGTTAAGTGTCTGCACTGCCCCAAACAGAGTTGGATGGTGGGGCACCCTGCGCACTGGCCCTGCCATGGCACCTTCCCTCCTCAGGAGATGTTGTGATTGGGAACCATGTGCTGCACCTCACCCAAGGAGATACCCCACTTCAGAGGAGAGGCTGGGAACTGTGGCCCAGCCCTGGACCAGCTGCAGGCCAGGACAACCCCTGCAGCCCTGTGGCTGGAAGAGCAGGGAGGGCAGGAAAATGCCAGGTACGGTATCTCTGCCAGACAGGTGGGAATGGCAGCTGGAAGCTAGGGATGCCCTGCAGAGCCTCAACACCCCGGAACCAATGGAGAGTGGGGGTGGGCCAGCTGCAGGCCGGGAAAATTTCATGGAGACCTGACTCCCAACCCCAGAAAAAGCCTCAATCTGGGGTGTGCAGCCCCACCCCCAAGGAAAAGCCTCCAGCGCTCCCCTTGCACCATGGTCAAGCCCTGTATGCAACCCCGACCACCTAGGTCCATGTCTGAAGTCCCCTCCCTGAGTCCTGCGCCATCCACCTCGACTCCCTATTACCCCTGTCCTGAGTCACTCTTTCGCCCCAGCTCCTCCCATGTACACGCATCCATCCCTGAGCCCCTTCTCTTCCCCTAACCCTGATTCCTTTCCCCCTACTCCTCCCCTGAACGCTGCTACCTCCCTCCCCCTCCCCTGATGTCTGCACCCCTTCCCCTGCCCTGGGGAATGGCTAAAATACAACAAAAGGAGAAAGCAAATACACAGACCAGACCTCTCCTACCCCAACCGCACTCATTTCACTGTATATTAAAGAAAGTTTTTCCGGCGGGATGAGAGAGTGATGTCAGCATGTCAAACTATGGCGCCCCACTCCCCAGCATCAACAGAGTCCTCAGAAGGGGAAGACGTGGCCATAGCTCTGGGTTCTCCTCCCCCACTCGGGGGGCACCCTTGGCTCCCTTCTGCCCCCCGGCCCTCCTCACAGCAGAGCACCCTTGTACGCAAGCTGTCTCTGGCAGAGAACCTCCAGGTTTCTCCACTCCCCACTTCCCCACAGGAAGTAGGTGCTAATCTTGCAGAGAGGGAGGGGAAGTTTCCAGGCATGCAACAGCCCCAGAGGCCCTGGCCTGAGCAGCCGGAGGTGGTGTTTCCCCACTGGGTGATGGAGCATCAAGGTCACCAGCACAGCTGTGGGCGGACGAGAGGCTGGAGCTGGTGCAGCCCTTGGCTACTGGTGGAAGAGCTGGGTTTGTTTGCCCCCAAAGACTGTGGGGTTCGTAAGCATAACAAGTGGGAGGTACCACCCACTAGGATCCAAAAAAAAGAAGAAAAGGCTGAGACTTCACAAAGACCACCAATGACTTAGCTGTGGCTGGGTGAACTTCTGTGCAAAATGTTGTGCAACTGTGATAGGTGTGTATCTACACGGGGGTGTGCGAGGAGCACATTCTACTATTACTTACACTGCTCTAATTCTAAATTAACCCATGTAAGTTCAGAGCCGCTAGTCTCTAAACTACATGGCTCCATCAATGGAGCCATGTAGATTAGGCTGATTGGCAAAGGGAAATGAAGCCACTATTTAAATAATCACGGCTTCATTTAAATTTAAATGGCTGCCAAGCTGATCAGCTGTTTGTCGGCTCAGCGCGCTAGTCTGGCCGCTCCCGCACCTAGCTGAAAGCCCTTTATCGACCTCCCCGTTATGCCTCGTAGGATGAGGTTGACCGGGGAAGTCGATAAAGGACTTTCATGTCGGCAGGGGAGCATCCAGACTAGTGCAGTGAGCCGAGAAACAGCTGATCAACTGTTTGTTGGCTCAGCGCGGCAGCCATGTAAATTTAAATGAAGCCGCGATCATTTAAATCGCGGCTTCATTTGACTTTGCCTATGGGTCTAATCCACATGCCTCTGATGACAGAGGCATGTAGTCTAGACACAGCCTTTGTAAAGAAGCTGAGGCTGCAATCACAAGCACTGAAGGACATTTCAGATCTTGGAGATAAACCTCCACCTCCTCAGTTTCTTCAATGCAGCTTTGACCTCCTGGTTCCTCAGGCTGTAGATGACCGGATTTATCATGGGGGGCACCCCAGCGTACAGCACACCCACCATAAGATCCAGATTAGAGGCTGAGCTAGAGGTGCTTCATTTGACTTTGCCTATGGGTCTAATCCACATGCCTCTGATGACAGAGGCATGTAGTCTAGACACAGCCTTTGTAAAGAAGCTGAGGCTGCAATCACAAGCACTGAAGGACATTTCAGATCTTGGAGATAAACCTCCACCTCCTCAGTTTCTTCAATGCAGCTTTGACCTCCTGGTTCCTCAGGCTGTAGATGACCGGATTTATCATGGGGGGCACCCCAGCGTACAGCACACCCACCATAAGATCCAGATTAGAGGCTGAGCTAGAGGTAGGTTTCAGGTAGGCAAAGGACCCAGTGCAAAGGAACAAGGAGAAGACAGCGAGATGGGGGAGGCAGGTGGAGAAGGCTTTGTGCCGGCTCCGCTCCGAGGGGATTCTCAGCACCGCTCTGAAGATCTGAACATAAGACACAATGATAAAAATAAAGCAATTCAAAAATAAAAACACACTAAAGCTAATAACCCCAATTTCACTGCTGTAGGAGTCGGAGCAGGCCAGCTTGAGGAGCTGGGGGATTTCACAGAAGAACTGGTCGATGACGTTGGACTGGCAGAAGGGTAACATGAAGGTGTTCCCAGTGTGCAGGGCAGAGTAGACAATACCAGTGATCCAGATACCAGCAGCCATGTGGACACAAGCTCTTCTGTTCATCACTCGCTCGTAGTGCAGCGGGTGGCAGATGGCGACGTGTCGGTCATAGGCCATGACGGTGAGTAAGGCAAGATCAGTTGAAGTGAAGACAACAAAAAGAAAGACTTGGGCGACACAATCAGGGTAGGAAATCGACCTGGTGTCCAGGAGGGAGTTGGCCATGGAGTTGGGGACGGTGACGGAGATGGAGCCGAGGTCTAGGACAGACAGGTTGCCCAGGAAGAAGTACATTGGGGTGTGAAGTCGATTGTCAAAGATGATGGCTGTGATGATGAGAAGATTCCCCACCAAGGCTGCCAGGTAAAGCACCAGGAACACCACAAAGTGCAGAATCTGCAGCTCCCGTACGTCAGAGAACCCCAGGAGCAGGAATTCGGTCACGATGCTTCGGTTGGATATTTTTTCCTTCAGTTCACAGTGTGCTGGCTGTGGAGGGAAGGGCACAGATAGGGGTGGGAATCAGAGTGATATACGGAATGGCCCGGATTTCCAGCAGGACCATCTCATGATGTGGGTGTCCACCATGTCCAGCGCCTGCCCCACCCAGTCACTAGTAGCCATGAGCTCACACACAGGTGTCAATTTGCCTGGCTCCCGTACAGTCCACAGAGTTGCACCCGTTTGCACCATCTGACAATTGGACTCAGGATGGGGCTGGATACAATAGTTTATAAAGGCTGGAGCAAAGCACAATCCCAACACAAGAGCTGTAGACAAGATGGATCACCTCTCTCTGAGGACAACTGGCCCCTGACTCGGCCATGGAACTGAACTGCTAAAAGGCCAGCAATGACTTTGCCCACTTTTCTCCGTTAAACACGGTTGCAATACAGTGATTGGGTTCAGATTCTAGTCCTATTGGACACGATTAATGTCTCCACCCTACCTTCATGCTAGCTTTCCAATGTGGGGTATCGTGTTCAAATTATGTCAAAAGAATTCTTGGTTTCTAGCACAAGACATTTTCCAGGGGAACGTATTATTCTAGAAACACAGTGGGGAAACTTTCTGTAACTTCAGAAATAACACATGGTCCCTTGGCATCTTTAGGTGCATCTATACAGCACACTACTCTTGCAAGAAAATACACAATTTGTATTTCAAAATAGCGTATTTCAAAATTTGGCATGGCTACACAGCACTACATTTCAAACAACGTGCTATTTTGAGACATACCCTAACCCTCATGGAACAAGGGTTGCAAGGATGCCAAAATAGTGAACCCATTATTTCGAAAAATATTTTGAAATAATGGGTGGCTCTTTAAGACATGGGTTGGCTATTTCAGGATACCAGCTTTCATTAGAACATACTTTTGTTATGAGCTCTCATCAGAAGAGGGTTTTACCCATGAAAGTTCATGATTCTTCTATGTATTTTGGTTAGTCTCTGATGTTTTGAAACACAAAATGTGGCTTGGAAAATTCAGAACATTTTTTTCTTCATTTTCAATGATTCGGGATTCAAAAGTTTACTACAACGGTGGTTGTCAAAGGTGAAAAGCTGGTTGGTGGTATTGCATAGGCAGAAGGGTAACATAGTATTTAGGTTTCATATAATTTCTATGAAAAAGCAACTTAGTATTCTGATGGGGAAGAAAAAAAACCCTCTGAGCAGCTCTAAAAGTTTGATGGTGGAGGGTATCGTTGAGATCTAGAGCGACCTAGACAACTTGGAAGATTAGGCCAAAAGAAATCTGATGGGGTTCAACAAGGACCAGTGCAGAGGATGGAAGAATCCCAAGCATTGTTACAGGCTGGGAACCAACTGGCTAAGTAGCAGTTTGGAAGAACAGGACTGGTATTGCAGTGGGTGAGAAGCTGGATATGAGTCAACAGTGCGCCCTTGCAGGCATGAAGGCTAATGGCATATTTGGGTGCATTAGGAGGAGCATTGCCAGCAGATCCAGAGAAGTGTTCCTCTTTATTCAGCTCTGGTGAGTTCATATCTGGAGTATTGTGTCCAGTTCTGGGCCCCCCATTACAGAAAGGATGTGGACACATTGAAGAGGGTCCAGCAGAGGGCTACAAAAGTGATTTGGGGGCAGGAGCACATGACCTACGAGGAGAGGCTGAGGGATTTGTCTTGAGATGGAAAGTTTTATTCTTTTTTATATTTGCATTTTAGGATTAATAGTGTAGCAACGCAAGGTAATATATTATCAGATTTAAATTAAGCCCTTTAATTAAATATACATTTCTTTGTTTTTAGCTTAGTTAGTTTAGTAAGTGAAAAGACAGAGTTTTGGTATTGTGTCTATGTTAATGAGATTAGGAGAAGGCTGACGGCTGGAGTTTTAATCGTTTGATTTACAACGTCTTTTGCTTTACCCAGTATGAGATGCTTTGTTTATGCTTTACTTTGAAAGTCCTTGTAGAGATGGTTTATGTGTGGAAGGGTATGTATGTGTCGAGATAAAGGTGGGAAGGTTATTCTCAGAGCCACATGGCCAGAGGAAGGAGGGACGAAGTGTGAGTGAAAACAGACTTATCGGCGTCAGAGGGCCCGTCAGTGTGTGCCCATAGTCAAAGAGTGACAGGACTAGCAGGCTGGCGGTCCAAAAGTGGAGCTGGTACCTCCAAAAGACAATTGATTACAGGATGAGCCTTTCGAGAGGTTTGGGGAATGATTGACATCAGAGAGATAACACTCCGGACACAGACTGGCACAGCAGAATCAATGGACTTCAACAGAGAAAAGGATTATAAAAGTAGGGTGCTTTGCCACGGAACTTTGAGTTCGTCTTGCCACCAACTCCAGAAGAGCATCGGATCGCGACCGACAAAAGGTCCTGCTCTCCCTCTGCGGTTGATCTCGCTGGCCACTAGATAGATCCAGACTCTTCACTGGTAACTATAACATCGTCTGGTGGCACTGAGTATCTATACAGTGTTTGTGTGTGTGAGTGACTTGAAAAGCACATGCAACTGTTGTATTCTCAATAAATGTGGCGTACTGCTTTTTCCTCTATAAAAGATCTCGTGTGCTTTGTTTAAGCAGAACATTTGGGTTTATTTAGTCTACAGAAGAGAAGGGTGATGGGGGATTTGAGAGCAGCCTTTAACTATCAGAAGGGAAGTTCCAAAGAGGATGGAGAGAGGCTGTTCTCAGTGGGGGCAGGTGGCAGAACGAGGAGCAATGGTCATAAATTGCAGTGGGGAAGGTCTAGGTTGGAGATTAGGAAAAACGATTTCTCTGGGAGGGTGGGGAAGCGCTGGGATGGGTTCCCTAGGGAGGGGGTGGAATCTCCATCCATAGAGGTTTTGATGTCCAGGCTTGACCAAGCCCTGTCTGGGATGATTGAGTTGGGGTTGGTTCTGCTTTGGGCAGGGGGCTGGACTTGGTGACTCCTGAGGTCTCTGCCCGCCCTGGGATTCTGTGATTCTATCAAGTGATGAAAAAGTCTTGAAGGGTTCCCATGGTAACTCCTCACATGAGTGTTACATTTGCCCACGACATGGACCCCTAAGGAGGTGTAACGGACGTAACACACTCACCGAGCTGGTCCTGGCAGGGTGGTTCCCGGCCTGGGATGCATTTCACGCATGGAGGCTTCAGTCACTGCCTAGCCATGGGCCTGCCCGTAACGCCCCATCTCTGGCTTGTTCTTCGCCTCTCTCCGGAGTTGCTGGGTGTCTTTGCGGTTCCTGCACCACAGACGCCCCCTCGGGCAGGATGAACCAAGCAATGAAGGAGCACAGAGGATGGGGGCAGAAATCCCCACCCTGATCTGAAACAGCTCCCAGACAGCACACGCTGCAAACAGGGGCCCAGCTTGTTTTGGAGCTAAATAGCCGACTCCGGTCTCCAGGGCGGGGAGATCTCACCTCAGCAGCAAACCACCTGCCAAGCTGCCCCTAACCCCCCGAGGGGAACATACCCACGTGCCCCACGATGGCAGCCGCTCTGGCTCCAGGCAGAGCCGGGCTGAAGCCCAAAGGGGACTGAAGGAGTTTGGAAATGAGCTAGGTATGGGGAGCAGAGATGGGTCCTGCTGTAGCTCAGAGTCCGGTGACCCAACAGCCCCAGCTGGCCCGGAGCAGCCTGGTCCTCCCTGAACCCACAGACACTGCTCTGGCAGAGCAGGGATGTTTGATCTCCTGAAATCCCAGGGCTGGCAGAGCCCTCAGGAGTCACCGAGTCCAGCCCCTGCCCAAAGCAGGACCAACCCCAACTCAATCATCCCAGCCAGGGCTTTGCCAATCCGGGGCTTAAATACTTCCTTTGGGGGCTGCCCCAGCAGTTCGTGGAACCCCAGAGGACCCCTTGGCTCTAGCTGCCCTGGGTGTTTGATGTGGGTCGCACAGAAGCAGCCGGAGGCAAATGCCACATCCTTAACTGGCGTAAATCGATACAAAGGTGGTTTGTGGCTCCTTGCCCAGGGGACAGACACACCTGCCCACTTGCTTGGCCCGGTTTCCCAGGAGTTCGGTGGCCAGCCAGGAGCTGGAATCTCAGACATCATGGAGGGATTGTTAAGGATCATGTGGCCCTCTCTCCACTACCCCACGCTGCTCATACACGTGGGTACCAAAGACACTGCAAAGAAAGACCCTGAGCAGACCAGGAGCAACTGCCAGGCTCTGCACGGGAGGGGGAAGGAGCTGTGGGCACAGGTGGGGCCGTCGTCCAGCCTCCCACTCAACGGTAGGGTCCCAGCAGAGACTGACACAATCCGGAGGGGAATGCCTGGATCTGTGCCCAGGAGGGATTCCTTTCCTCAGCCGGGGGATGCTGCTTCAAGAGCATAAGAACATCAGAACAGCCAGACTGGGTCAGACCAAAGGTCCATCAGCCCAGTGTCCTGTCTGCCCACAGTGGCCAATACCAGGTGCCCAGGCGGGAGGGGACACAACAGGGAATCCTCACGTGCTCCCTCCCCTGTCACCCACCTCCGGAGAAACAGAGGCTAAGGACCATTCCTACCCAGCCTGGCTACTAGCCATTGATGGACCTAACCCCCATGAATCTATCTAGTTCCTTCTTGAACCCTGTTAAAGTTCTAGCCTTCACCACATCCTCTAGCAAGGAGTTCTGCAGGTTGACTGTTCACTAAGTGAAGAAAAACTACCTTTTCTTTGTTCTAAACCTCCTCCATATTAATTTCATTTGGTGACCCCTAGTTGTTATGTTATGGGAACAAGTAAATAACTTTTCCTTATTCATTTTTTCCACATCTGTCAAGATTTTATAGACCTCTTTCATATCCCCCCTTAGTCTCCTCTTTTCTAAGCTGAAATGTCCCAGTCTTTTTAGTCTCTCCTCATATGGGACCTGTTCCACACACCCAGTCATTTTTATTGCTCTTTTCTGAACTTTTTGGTGACCCCTAGTTCTTATAGTGTGGGAATAAGTAAATAACTGTGCCTCAGTCACGTTTTCCACACCACAAGAAGAAGGGCAGCTGAGCAGAAATAGGGTCCATCTATCAAAGCAGGGGACAGTATTTTTGGATATAGACCAGATAATCTAGTGAGGCTGGCTTTGACAAGGCCCGGGACAAATTCCCACCATCTGTCCAGAACCCAGAGACCTGGTCCAAGAAGGTCTGCTGTGGGCTCTGGGCGCTGAGTGGACGTCTTCTTATGTACCCGTCCCTCTCCTGGGCTGGAACCATGCTATTCTCTCTCTCAAACTGGGTCCTGAACCACACAACTTCTCCTGCCAATCGTGAGGTCTCCTGCCATGTTTTTTACCTGCAGTTCCTTCTACAGGAGCTGTGACCAGTAGTAAAATGAGAGATTTACCCGTTTGCCAGCACGACGACGACGACGACGACGACGACGACGACGACGACGACGACGACGACGACGACGACGACGACGACGACGACGACGACAATTTACTGACCAGTGTAAGAACAAAACATCACGGGAGACAAAATACGAGCAATGAAATGACTGGAATAGTTTTGTTGAAAACAAAATTAGTTTTATTAGCCAGACTCATTTTGTCCTTAAAACATTGAATAGTTTTATCTCCTCAAATACCGTAACAGGAATGTTCATTCATTTGTTTGTTTGTTTATTCATTCAAACCAAAGTATATGAAATGGTGTAAGAATCGGTGTATAGATATAGCCCAGTTGGTTCTAGGACGGGCTTCACCCCCCAGTATCACTCCCCAGTCAGTACCAACAAGTCCTGGCCTCCGACCGATGATCAGGCTGGGCCAAAAGGCTCACTTGGCCCTGGCCCAGACTCAAGGCACCAATAGTTAATGGGGGCTACGGGACCAGGCCCTCATTCAGGTTGGGCCAGAAAAAAAGCAATTCATGAATACCTGTTCTCAGGCCCAGGCCCTGGTTCAGGGTTCAATAAAATGACTAAGCAGTTTACAAGTAACAGTGAGTGAGTCCGGGCCCTAGTCCAGGCCAGGGCAACAAACCAACAGTTAATAGTCCAGCGTAGAGTGAACCCTCTTCTCTTCTTGCTCGGGATCTGGCAAGTGAAGGGTCTCAGCCGTGACAGCCGAGGGGGGACAGTGCCAGCCAGAGTGGTTCTGCTGCTGGGTCAGCGGTGATCCACACCGCAACACGCTGACTCCAGCTCTGGCTCAGTCGTCGATCGCTGGGCTGCTGCCATTCTCCTCCTCGGCATGTACATGGCTCCATTGTAGGTCCAGTGTTCACAGGGCTGGAACCTCTGGAAGAGTGAGCAGATCCTCCAGGCCAAGCCCAACGTGGGCCCAGTAGTCTGGACCAGTGCTCAGCTTCCCTCAGGTCCAGCTCCCTGCTTGCTCTTGGTTCCCCTTGCGGCTGGAGGCTGATGGACCTCTCAGGCTGGTCTTTGATAGTTCTTCCCCGGCCTCCTGACTTCTGGTCCCGTGATTTGCAGGGGACAGGCACTGACTACGGGGGCTCTGGGAGGGGCTCCTCCCCCTCCAGGACAGTGGATGCCTACTCTGACACACCACAATGTATTTTAGAGAGTTTGTGCATATGTCTGTCTGTGAGTCCTTCTGCCTGTCTGCTTGCAAGTCCATTTGTTCAAGAACTTCTCCTAAGGGCTATTTTCTCTTCTCCTAATTTAATGCAAGGTCAGACTTTGGTTGTGCCAGGACAATGAGAAGTGCCTGGAATGGGACTGGTTTCCATAACATGGAAAGGGAGGGGGATGATCGGAGAGACAGCGATACTACAGAATGACCACCAGGGGCAGCGAGCGCAGGGGACAGAAATACTGCAAGCAACACCAGCAAGAGACTGGCCAGCTGGGGACGGAGCTTTCCTTGTTGTTGGCCATTGGACAAGTGAATGTCTGCACTGCCCCAAACAGAGCTGGATGGGGGCACCCTGCCCGCTGGCCCTGCCGCAGCACCTTCCCTCCTCAGGGCTGGAAACCACAGGCTGCACCTCACCCCAGGAGACAAGCTGCCCCCCGAGGAGAGGCTGGGAACCGTGGCCCAGCCCTGGACCAGCTGCCGGCCAGGACAACCCCTGCAGCCCTGTGGCTGGGGGGGAGAGCAGGACTATGCTGGGCACAGTCCCCTCTGGTAGCCGGGGATGGCAGCTGGAAGCCAGGGATGCCCTGCAAAGCCCCAACATCCTGGACCCAATGGAGGGTTGGGGTGGACCAGCTGCAGGCCAGGAAAATTTCATGGAGACCTGACTCCCAACCCCAGAAAAAGCCTCAATCTGGGAAGAGCAGCCCCACCCCCCCAGGAAAAGCCTCCAGCTCTCCCCTTGTCCTATGGTCAAGCCCTGTATGCAACCCCGACCACCTAGGTCCATGTCTGAAGTCCCCTCCCTCAGTCCAGCCCCCTCGTGTGCACCTCGACACCCTATTCCCCCTGTCCTGGGTCACTTTTTAGCCCCAGCTGGAGGCAGAGGTTCCCTGCCAAGTGATGGAGCAGTAAGGCCCCCAGCACAGTGAGGAGACACTGTTGTCACCCTCTAGCTCAGCCCTGGCTCTCCTTCGGCGACTGGAGGGAGGCCAAGAGACTGAGGCTGGTGTGGAACCTGGCCCTCCCATCCCCTGCGGCTGGATCTGGTGCAGCCTGTGGCCCTCCCATCCCTGGCAGCTTTGGGGAGATGAGAGGCTGGGTCTGGTGTAGCCCATTACTATGCAGAGGTGGGGGGGAGAGCTGGGCCTGTTTACCACCCAGGAAGGTGGGATTGGTGACCAAAGCCTGCAGGAGGCACCACTGCCTAGTATCCCAAACAAGGAGAAGAGGCAGAGACTTCACAAAGATCAGCAGTGACTTCACTGCAGCTGGTGATCTGTGCAAAGTGTTGGGCAACTGTGATATTAAATCCCCGTGAGAGAGGGACAGGTGTGTATCTAGATGGGGGGGGGGTGTGAGGAGCACATTCTGCTCCCATTTACACTAGTATAATGCTAAATTAACCCATAGAAGTTTAGTGGAGCTAGTTGGCATTTCATAAAGAAGCCGAGGCTGCAATCACAAGCACTGAGGAACATTTCACTCCATGAAGGTTAACCACTTGCCCATCAGCTTCTTCAGGGCAGTTTTGATCTCCTTGTTCCTCAGGCTGTAGATGACCGGATTCAGCATGGGAGGCACCACGGTGTAGAGAACACCCACCGCCAGATCCAGATTAGATGCTGAGCTGGAGGTGGGCTTCAAGTAGTCGAACACAGAGGTGAAAAGTAGCAAGGAGACCACAGCAAGGTGGGGGAGGCAGGTGGAGAAGGCTTTGTGCCGGCCCTGCTCCGAGGGGATTCTCAGCACCGCTCTGAAGATCTGAACGTACGACACAATGATAAAAGCAAAGCAGTTTAAACCTAAAAACACACTGAAGGCAATAACCCCAACTTCACTGAGGTAGGAGTCGGAGCAGGCCAGCTTGAGGAGTTTTGGGATATCACAGAAGAACTGGTCGATGACGTTGGACTGGCAGAAGGGTAACATGAAGGTGTTCCCAGTGTGCAGGGCAGAGTAGACAATACCAGTGATCCAGGCACCGGTGGCCATGTGGACACAAGCTCTTCTGTTCATCACACACTCGTAGTGTAGCGGGTGGCAGATGGCCATGTACCGGTCATAGGCCATGATGGTCAGTAAAGCAAGATCTGTTGAAGTGAAGATGACAAAGAGAAAAACTTGGGCGACACAGGCTGGGTAAGAAATTGACCTGGTGTCCAGGAGGGAGTTGACCATGGATTTGGGGACGGTGACGGAGATGGAGCCAAGGTCCAGGATGGACAGGTTGCCCAGAAAGAAGTACATGGGGGTGTGCAGACGGTGGTTGATGGCTACAGATGAGATGATGAGAAGATTCCCCATCAGGGCTGCCAGATAAAGCACCAGGAACACCAGTACATGCAAAATCTGCAGCTCCCGGACATTAGAGAAGCCCAGGAGCAGGAACTCGGCCATGGTGGTTCGGTTGGACATTTTCTTCCTCAGTTCACAGTGTGGTGGCTGCGGAGGGAAGGGCACAGACAGGGGTGGGGATTAGAGCGATACATGGAACGGCCCTGATTCCCAGCAGCAACCTCTCGTGCTGTGGGTGTCCACCATGCCCAGCGCCCTAGGGCAGTGAGTGACCACATAGGTGTCAACTTGCCTAGTTACTGAATGGTCTATGGAGCTGCATCCATTTGCATCATCTGGGGATGCAGCTCGGGATGGGGATGGGTACAATGCCTGATGCAGGATGGAGCAAAGAGCAATCCCAAAGCAGAAGCTCTAGCCCAGATGGACCCCCTCTGGCTACGGACAGCCAGCCCCTGGCTCGGTTATGGAACTGAACTACTAAAAGGCCAGTAGCGCCTGGTCTCCACTTTCTGCAGAAATCTGACATAGACTCACTCAGGAGCTGGCATGACGGCTCCCTCTGTAACACCGCAGGGTTGTCCGGCTCCCTGCTCACAAATGAAGTGAGGAGACAAGATCCCACATCTACCTCCGGGCACTGAGGGGCTCGCAACAGGGTGACCATATTTCTCTAGGCTGCTCTGTGTCCAGGGGCAGGGTGAATGGATCAATTTGTGGTCGGGGGCTTCTATTCGCTCTTCTCCAGTTAAGGCCCCAGGATGTGTAACACCTGCTCTACAGGCTGACAGTTTGCTCCTTGCTCAGCTTTACCATTCAACGGGTGTCCCTTTGAAACAGCGTTAAACAAGATTGCAATACAGTGATGGGGTTCAGATTTCAGTCCTATTTGACATGATTAATATTTCCACCCTAGCTTCATGCTAACTTTCCAGTGTGGGGTATGGCGTTCACATTATTCCAAAGGAATTCTTGATTTCCAGCAGAACAAAATTTCCCAGGAAAATGTGTTATTCTGGAAACACAAGATTCAGTATGGGAGCCGTCTGTAACTTCAGAATCAAGAGGTTCTCCTGTGGCATCTTCTGGTGTGTGTACACAGCACCCTACACTCACAATAAGATATGCAATTTGCATTATTACGCATCTTATTTCAATTACATTTTAAAATAGCGTATTTCAAAATTTGGTGCCTCTCCACAGCACCGCATTTGAAAATAACGTGCTATTTCAAGGTGTCCCTTAACCCTCGTGGAACAAGGGTTGCAGGGATGCTAACATAGTTCACCCATTTTTTGAAAATTATTTTGAAATAACGGGCGGCTTGTTAAGACGTGGGGTGGCCATTTCGGGATTCTGGAGGTATCCTCAAATAGCCGCTATGAGGAGACATAGCCTGGGAGACCTCACAGTTTATTCGGCTCTGGTGAGGCCACATCTGGAGTATTGCATCCAGTTCTGGGCCCCCCACTATAGAAAGGATGAGGGCGCATTGGAGAGGGTCCAGTGGAGGGCAACAAAAGTGATTGGGGGGCTGGAGCACATGAAATAAGAGGCTGATGGATTTAGGGGCTGTTTAGTCTGCAGAAGAGAAGAGTGAGGGGGGATTTGAGAGCAGCCTTCAACTCCTTGCGGGGGGGTCCAAAGAGGCTGAAGAGAGGCTGTTCTCAGTGGTGGCAGAATGAGGAGCAATGGTCTCAAGTTGCAGTGGGGAAGGTCTAGGTTGGACAGTAAGAAAAACTATTTCCCGAGGAAGGTGGGGAAGCGCTGGGATGAGATCCCTAGGGCGGGGGTGGAATCTCCATCCCTTCTCCCAGCTTGACCAAGCCCTGGCTGGGATGATGGAGTTGGGGTTGTCTACTTTGGGCAGGGAGCTGGACTCAATGACTCCTGAGGTCTGTTCCAGCCCTGGGATTCTAGGATTCTCTGAAAAGATGTGAAAAGAGTTCCCATGGCATCGCCTCACTCGAGGGTTACATTTCCCTGCTACATGAACCCCTCAGCAGCTGTAAGGGAAGTGACACACTCACCATGCTGGCCCTGGCAGGGTGGTTCCCGGCCTGGGATGCATTTCACACCTGGAGGCTTCAGTCACTGCCTAGCCATGGGCCTGCCCGTAACGCCCCATCTCTGGCTTGTTCTGCCGCGCTTCCCCAGCCGCTCCAGCCTCTCCGGAGTTGTTGGGTGTCTCTGCGGTTCCTACACCACATACGCCCCCTCCGGCAGGCTGGGCTAATCAGATAAAGGAGTACAGAGGATGGGACAGAAATCCCCCTGAATCTTCAACTGCTCCCGGCCGGCGCACGCTGCAAACGGGGGCCCAGCTTGTCCTGGGGCTAAATAGCCGACTCCCGTCTCCAGGGCGGGGAGATCTCACCCCAGCAGCAAGCCACCTTCCAGGCTGCTTCCGCCGCCCTTCAATCCCTGAGGGGAGCAGCATAACGTGCCCCATGATGGCAGCGGCTCAGGAAGGACCCCTGGCTCCAGAGAGACAGACAGGCTCTCGCCCAAAGGGGACTGAGGGAGACTGCAGAAGGAGCTAGGAATGGGTGGCTTTCTGCAGGGGTCAGAATTTGGGAGGTTGGAATATGCTTGATCCAAGTGGGGCGTCCATCGATCATGTATTCGAGGTGCCATCTGCTCCTTTCTTGGATTGACTGAAGGATGAGAAGTTTTGCTTTCCCCAGTGAAGATGAATTGGATAAAAGTCTCTGTGTGAGGGTGGGAAGTTTCTAGTCCCTATTCCCGCGGTTATGTGAATGCGGAAGGGACTGCCCTTCGCTATTTCAGATGTGTGAGGGGAGCTACAGCCACGTCTATGAATGAATAAACATCGTGTCACTCTTGTTATGGTGGAAAGTCCTTTAGAAAGAGAAATTGCTGGCATCGTCTCCTTCAGACACACTGAGACTGGTTAATAAAATGGAATGTTTAATCCACCAAACTGTTGTTGTGTCTCCACAACTTTTGTTGTGTCTCCAGTTTTCTCAGATGTTGCGCTTGGTTTTCCTTGTGGCCACGAAATTAGTACTGGATATGGGGGAGACGGGCTGGTCACTCAACTTACTGCTGAGGGAAGAGCTGCAAGGACCACACACGGTAGGGCCTGTGGAGAAATCCCTGCAGGTGACCATGGTTGGTGTGGTACGTTAGGACCCAGCTATAGAAGGGAAGAACCAGGTGATTCCATGCTAATAGAGGGGCAGTTTCAAGGCTGAGACGTGAGGGCCCAAAGACGGGTCCGCGGCGCGGCTGTAACCCAGTAACCCCGACATCTTGGATTCAGCCATTCACTTGTACGGGTTGATTTGGATTTGACCAACGGTGTCTTATCCACACAAGCATCTGACTGTGTTGAGGGGAAAGAGCTGTGTAGCGGTTATCCAGCTGCTTCACAGGCTTTTGCCAACCCCAGTCAGCTTCCGAATTTACTGGGTGAGTCGACAGGACCTTAGTTTCAAATTCGCTTTCAAAACCTGTCCTCAGTGGGTCGCTGAAGATTATAAACCCCCAGTTCTAACAAGCCACCGTACCCACCCCCATGGGACATCAGTTTCATACTGTGTAGGGCCCCGTACATCCTACGGAAGGCCCTGTCCCAACCTGTTCTTACCACAATGGCTCATGTGACCCAACGAGAGAGGAATTCCAAGCTGGGCCAGGCTTAGAATCATAGACTAGGACTGGAAGGGACCTCGAGTCCAGTCCCGTGCACCCATGGCAGGACCCAGTACTGTCTAGACCATCGCTGATAGACATTTATCTAACCTACTCTTAAATATCTCCAGAGATGGGGATTCCACAACCTCCCTGGGCAATTTATTCCAGTATTTGACCACCCTGACAGTTAGGAACTTTTTCCTAATGTCCTACCTAAACCTCCCTTTCTGCAGTTTAAGCCCATTGCTTTTGCTCTATCCTTAGAGGCCAAGATGAACAAGTTTTCTCCCGCCTCCTTATGACACCCCTTTAGATACCTGAAAACTGCTATCATGTCCCCCTCAGTCTTCTTTTTTCTAAAAAAACAAACCCAATTCTTCCAGTCTTCCTTCATAGGTCATGTTCTCTAGACCTTTCATCATTCTCATTGCTCTTCTCTGGACCCTCTCCAATTTTTCCACATCTTTCTTGAAATGTGGTGCCCAGAACAGTACACAAGACTCCAACTGAGGCCTAACCAGTGCAGGGTAGAGTGGAAGAATGACTTGCTCAAAACACACCTGTTAATACATCCCAGAATCATGTTTTCTTTTTTTTGCAAAACTTAAAATCTTCCTACACACTCATTAATGGATCAATTCCACAAGCCAAATACACAGAGAAGGATTGGAACTTAACTTCATACACAAGATCAATTAAATGAAGAGGGCAGGTCGCTACCTCATCACCATGGATCTCCCCAAAAGGGCTATTGGCGATGCCAGGCTGAAACAGGCATTTTTCACTCCTCTGGGGCTCTATGAGTTCCTTGTCCTGCCTTTTAGCCTGAGCTAGCCAAGGTGGAGACCATCACAGATTGGTTGGTTCCCGAGACCAAGAAAAAGCATAGAATCGTAGAGCTGGAATAGACCTCAGAAGGTCCAGAAGAAGACATCATGAGACCAAAAGAAGGCCCGGGACTGCATTGGGATGGAGGGTTTTACCCCTTTACTGAAGGAGGCCCTGGTCAGAGCCCCATTGCTGGTATAGTGTTCATGGACACCACAGTCATTGGGCCTCGAAAGAGGGAGCGACACCCCATTGTGTACTTGAGCCAGAAGCTGCTACATCAGGAACAGAACTAGGCAGCCCTAGAGAAGGACACCTGACCCTGGTGTGGGCCCTTAGAAAGCTGCACCCGTATCTGTTTAGGCTGCATTTCCAAGGGTACATAACCCCTCTCCCCTGGCCTGGCTGCACCAGATGAAAAGGGCGAACATCCCTCTTCATGGGTTAGTCCTGGCAGAGGAGGCTGGGGGCAGAGATGCCAGGACCCTGAGGCTGAATGATCAGGGAGTTGTGGGACATTCCCCCCAGCACTTTTGGGGGCAAGAGGAGACAGCCTCTCCCTTGCAGAGCCCCGTCCCCAGCTGGCCAGTCTCTTACTGGTGTATCTGCCCCCAGAGGTCACTCCAGAGTATGGCTGTGCCCCACGCTTGCTGCCCCTAGTGGTCACTGTGAGTATCATGTCCCTCCTCTCTCTGCCCCTCCCTTTCCATGTTCTGGAAACCAGTCCCATTCCTGGCACGTCCCATTGTAGTGATTGTAGTGCATATCTTAGTGAGTTATTGCCGAGTAGCAGCGGTTGGAAAAGGAATTTCCTATTTTGTGAAACTTTTTATGACATTGAAATATTTTGCCGTCTGGGCTCCAGGAAAAAATTCAAGCAAGCAAATTTTATTGATTTATATTTTTGACAGAGTGAATTGTGGTTGGCCACTGAGATTGACCAAAGGAAACTCAGTCCCACCAGGGTCCAAGAATGCAAATATGAGGAGTTCGACCTTCCAAAACATGACCAGATGATCCTAGTAAGGCCAAATGAGCTCCCTGCCACAGAGCTAAGATGCCTTTTGATTTTGATCTTACCTTTTTTTTATGTCAATTAACTGACATTTCAAAGGCACAGACATTATTGTTTTTCAAATGAGCAATGTCAAGTTGGCATCTGTTAAGTAATTTGAACCAGCTAAAAATATCCAATTGTGATCAAATCCAACCCTGTCCCGCACACGCTCCAGGCTTCCATGAATCCGCAATATCTGACGAGTAAAACCAAATTGTGAGACGACGTCAAAGAAGGGCTTGTGATCAGCTCAGGGATGGCAATTTCCTCCTCCCCTTTAAGGCTACAACCCCGAAATAGGCCCTTCTCCTCCCTTTGTAGATATCTACGCCCCTGGGAATGCCTTTCGAGGGAAGGCTCTCACACTCTTGTCAGAGTACAAGCAGAGAAATACCTGGTAGACATGTCGTCTCTCTGTAGAGATCTCCTCAACTTCCTCTCCTCCGTGACAGAAATGTAGACCATCCCCTTGGCCCGTCCAAGTTCACCCAACATCCCAACGTCAACCGGCAACCTCCTTTTTTACTCCAATTCACAGTCAGAGAAAATTGAATTATAGTTTATAAGGGGACATGAGAGCAGCTTTCAAGTTCCTAAAAGAGTTTTTGTTACAAGGAAGAGGGAGGAGAATTGTTCTCCTTGGCTGCTGAGGACAGAAAAAGAAACAATGGGCTTAAACTGCAGCAAGGGAGGTTGAGGTTGGACATTAGGAAAAAGTTCTTAACTGTCAGGGTGGTTAAACACTGGAATAAATTGCCTAGGGAGGTTGTGGAATCTCCGTCTCTGGAGATATTGAAGAGCAGGTTGGACAGACACGTGTCAGGGTTATCTAGATGGTGCTTGGTCCTGCCGTGAGGACAGTAGACTTGACTTGACGTCCTTTCAGGTTTCCACCTAGTTCTATGCTTGTAGGATTACATTTCACCTAAGTCCTTGAGTTAAACCCAGTGCAATCTGAGAAATGAACACTTTTCTGCATTCAGGAGACGGAAGAATTCTGCACCACATGCAGAGAACAGGAGAGATTAAGGCACCGTCAATGCTCAATACCCCTCGACAACACAGAACGGACTAGTTGAGGGACACCCAGCTGGTCCCAGCAGAAAGATCTTTAGAAGAAAGCCTTGTTCCTATTTGGACCTTCCCCTCCCATCTACGAAACGTTTTGGGTGGAACTTCATGTGAACTCTTGAACCAAAGAAATGCATTTCTGAGCTGAAGAAGGATACATCTGTGTTTGCACACGTGCACCAAGGACATTCCAACCATGTGGTGGCTTTTTTAAATGACCCAAAAAAATTCAAATTGGGAGAGTTATTGAACCCAATCCTTTGAATGAATGAATGAATGAATGAATGAAAGAAAGAAAGAAAGAAAGAAAGAAAGAAAGAAAGAAAGAAAGAAAGAAAGAAAGAAAGAAAGAAAGAAAGAAAGAAAGAAAGAAAGAAAGAAAGAAAGAAAGAAAGAAAGAAAGAAAGAAAGAAAGAAAGAAAGAAAGAAAGAAAGAAAGAAAGAAAGAAAGAAAGAAAGAAAGAAAGAAAGAAAGAAAGAAAGAAAGAAAGAAAGAAAGAAAGAAAGAAAGAAAGAAAGAAAGAAAATTGTTTCATTCACTCAGTGGCAGTTGAAAATCAGACCCCAAATCTCTCGGCACCCGGCTCTCCCCACAGTGCTGTCTGCAGCCGTCCTTAGCCATTAAATGTTTCGCTCTGGTGATGAACCCCCTGGAGATGTTGGTCAGACGGTGCGGGCAGGGGAGGAATGTTTCACTCTAGCGCCGACTCCCAGGCACAGACCACAAGCTGGAAACGCCTTCCCAGGTAGGTTCCTGGCTGAGGGGGATAAATGTCACCCCCTCCCTCCAGTCCCAAAGGCCACTGGCCCCCTCTGGACACAGGCTGCATGGTTCTCTCTGTGTCGAACCTGCTTTGAACACAACCCAGAGCTGCCAGCCTGTCGCCTCCAGCCCCTACGTCGCAGGATCCACCCCTGAGCCTATCCTGTGGTGGGACCTCTGGTGGCTGCTCCCCAGAGCTGCTGATGCAACGTGGAGATGGGGGAGGAGGGGTTGGCTCACTCTGAGATAATTAGACAGCGTTAATGAAGCACCAGGCTGCTCCAGGCAGCGAAGGGACCGGAGCCCTCGGCTGCTCTAGACCAGGCCGGGCTGTGACTATCCATCGAATCCAGCCCAGCCAGGTTCCTCTCCACGCACAAACCGGGATCCGCTCCAGAGCCGGGAAGGACTTTAGTCCCACATCCCTGGTACTTCCCCTCCCACCCAGCCTGTCCGCAGGGGTGCAGGAAGCCCGTCTCAGGAGCAGGTCCCCATCTGGCAGGGGCTGCCAGAGACCCAGCCATGCCAGGAGACAGGGAAGATGCACAAAGCAGAGAGGGACCAGGGCTGAGGACTCTGGACTTGTAAATGCCTCCCACGCCCGGACACCTCCCCACGACCGGCCCGGTGAGTTTGGCGATGGGATGTGGGGAGGGGTTCACATGCTGGGTACATGGTGTGACTCTGTCTGGAAGGGGAGATTGGGGTGACAGCGCACTGACCTGCGATCGCACACCCGGTACGGCGCAGGGTGTCCTCTTCCCCAGCCAGGGCAAAATGGGCTTTTCGTGGAAATCATGGAACCGATCGCACTCGGTCTCGTTCCGTGAAACGCCGCCAGCGTCAGCCGACAAGTGTGGAACACTCAGTTAGATTTATTAGAAACTGGGGACAGTTTTGGGACAGGGGCAGCCTACACAGGAAGGACGGGCTCCACCTAAACCAGGGTGGATCCAGATTGCTGGCACTAAACATTAAGAAGGTTGTAGAGTAGTTTTTAAACTAAGAGATGGGGGAAAGCTGCTTGGTGTGGAGGCGCATGTGGATCGGACAGAGAAGTCTCTTAGAGGAGAGTCCATTGATGGAGATTCTCTAGGTGTTAGTCGGAAAGAGAGGAGGGGAGATGATAAAGTATGGGCCAGATCAGACAAGAAACAGTCACATATACAAGAATCTAATACACCAGAGAAGGGCAGACAAATAAACAGTCGCAATTTAAAGTGGTCTGCACAAATGCTAGAAGTCTAAGTAATAAGATGGGTGAACTCGAGTACCTGGTATTAAAGGAGGAGTTTGACACAATAGGCATCACAGAAACCAGGTGGAATCAGGACAATCAGTGTGGGACACAATCATACCGGGCTATAAAACACATCGGAAGCACAGACCAGGTCGTGCGGGTGGCGGAGTGGCACTGTATGTGAAAGATAATGTAGAATCCAATGAAGTAAAAATCATGTCTTACTAAGCTATTAGAGTTCTTTGAAGGAGTCAACAAATATGTGGACAAGGGGGATGCAGTAGATACAGTATACTTAGATTTTCAGAAAGCCTTTGACAAAGTCCCTCACCAAAAAATGTAAATTAGGTTGTCGTGGGATACAAGGGAAGGTCCTTTCATGGACTGAGAACCGGTTAAAAGATAGGAAACTAAGGGCAGGAATAAATGACACATTTTCATAACGGAGGGGGTAACTAGTGGTGTCCCCCAAGGGTCAGTCCTAGGACCAGTCCTATTCAACTTATTCATAAACGATCTAGAGAAAGGGGTGAACAGTGAGGTGGCAAAGTTTGCAGACGATACTAAACTGTTCAAGATAGTCAAGACAAAGCAGACTGTGAAGAACTTCAAAAAGATCTCACCAAACGGAGTGATTGGGCAACACAATGGCAAATGAACTTTAACGTGGGTAAGTGTAAAGTAATGCACATTGGAAAAACTAACCCCAACTATACATACAATATAACGGGGGCTAATTTAGCTACAACTAATCAGGAAAGAGATCTGGGAGTTATCAAGGATAGTTCTCTGAAAACGGCCACGTAGTGTGCAGAGGCAGTCAAAAAAGCAAATAGGATGCTACGAATTATTTAAAAAGGGATAGAAAATAAGACCAAGAATATCTCACTGCCCCTATATAAAATGACGGTATGCCTACATCTTGAATACTACGTACAGATGTGGTCTCCTCACCTCAAAAAAGACAATTAGGCATTAGAAAAGGATCAGAAAAGAGCAACTAAAATGATGAGGGTTTTGGAACGGGTCCCCTATGAGGAGAGGCTAAAAGACTGGGACTTTTCCGTTTAGAAATGAGGAGACTGAAGAGGGATATGATAGAGGTCTATAAAATCACAAGAGGTATGGAGAAGATGAATGAAGAAAAGTTATTCACTTGTTCCCACAATAGAAGAACTAGAGGACACCAAAAGTAATTAATGGGGGGAAGATTTAAAATTAATAAATACAATTCTTCTTCACACAGCGCACTGTCAACCTGTGGAACTCCTTTCCGGAGGAGTCTCTAGGACTATAACACAGTTTAAAGAGAAGCTAGATAAATTCATGGAGGTTAGGTCCATAAAAGGCTATTAGCCAGGGCGGAAGGAATGCTGCCCCAGCCTCTGTTTGCCGAAGGCTGGAGAAGGATGGCAGGAGACAAACTGCTTGATTCTTCTCACCGGTCCACCCCCTCTGGGGCACCTGGTACTGGTCACTGTCAGCAGACAGGCTACTGGGCTGGATGGACCTTTGCTCTGACCTAGTATGGCCATTCTCATGATCTTCTGTTCTTATGATTTTATGAAAAAGCTGCAGAAACCTGTGGCCATAACGTTCCCCCGCTCCAGTGTCTGTGCCGAGTCGCCTCATGTGACGGTCCCCTCCCAGACACATGGGTCCCCAGGAAACCCCCTTTCCTTTGAAGAAATTTAAATGGGGCGACATGGCCCCCTCCTGCCATGAGACGTTGGGATTGAAGCTGGCCCGGGCACACTGAGATTCTCCAGCAAGGGTCACAGCCGGAGGTTCGTGCCCGGAGGGGTTCCTCTGTCACAGCCATTGAGTTGGGATTTCACTTGACTCCCTGCTCCAACAGCATTTCATCCAGCCCCGTCCTGAGTCTCCCCTAGATCTTCGCAGGGGCAGTCGGACACGGCTCCAGGGACTGTTCAGGAGCCAGGCCCAGAGACACCGGGAGGTAACTCACCGCCCCTCGGGAGGAGCTGGGACGGGTGCTTGGCATGGGGGACACCCACCGCATGAGAGGTTGGTCCGGGAATCCAGGCTGTTCCATGTCTCACTCTGATCCCCACCCCTTCTGTGTCCTCTGCAGCCACCACACTGGGAACTGAGGAAGAAAATGTCCAACCAAAGCACTGTGACTGAGTTCCTGCTCCTGGGCTTCTCTGACGTCCGGGAGCTGCAGGTTTTGCACTTTGTGGTGTTTCTAGTGATGTACCTGGCAGCCGTGGTGGGGAACCTTCTCACCATGGTAGCCATCATCCTTGACCATCAACTTCACACCCCCATGTACTTCTTCCTGGCAAACCTGTCCATCCTGGACCTCGGATCCATCTCTGTCAGCGTCCCCAAATCCATGGCCAATTCCCTCCTGGACACCAGGTCGATTTCCTACTCTGCTTGTGTCGCCCAAGTCTTTCTCTATGTCGTCTTCACATCAACTGATTTTGCCCTTCTCACCGTCATGGCCTACGATCGACACGTCGCCATCTGCCACCCACTGCACTACGAGCGAGTGATGAACAGGAGAGCTTGTATCCACATGGCCGCCAGTTCCTGGCTCGCTGCTATTGTCTACTCTGCCCTGCACACCGGGAACACCTTGCGGTTACCCTTCTGCCAGTCCAACATCCTCAACCAGTTCTTCTGTGAAATCCCCCAGCTCCTCAAGCTGGCCTGCTCCAGCTCCTACCACATTGAAATTGGGGTTATTGGCTTTGGTTTCGTGTTATGTTTTACCTGCTTTCTCTTCATCATTGTGTCGTACGTCCAGATCTTCAGAGCGGTGCTGAGAATCCCCTCGCAGCAGAGCCGGCACAAAGCCTTCTCCACCTGCCTCCCCCACCTCACAGTGGTCTCCTTGTTCCTTTGTACTGTGTCCTTTGCCTTCCTGAAGCCCTCCTCCAGCTCTCCATCAGGCCTGGATCTCGCGATGGGTGTTCTCTACGCCGTGGTGCCTCCCATGCTGAATCCGGTCGTCTACAGCCTGAGGAACAAGGAGCTCAAAGCTGCCTTGAAGAAACTCTTTGTTTGGAGGTTATTCTCCAAGAACTGAAATGTCCTTCATTGGTTCTTGACTGTGATTTCCCCGTTTTCCTTCTATTCAGCTAGTCACCAAAGAGCATCAATAAGACCACAAGATGCAATTGGTTCATGAAGTAGGAAGAGCCAGACTAAGCCCATTGAATGAAATCCTAATTAGTTATGGAGGGATCACTCCAGTGTGAGTGAGATCAGAGTCTATGTGTGTTTCCATAAATCCTTCCTCATATCTGTGGATTGTTTTATGAATTTACACTTGCAGATCCTGCATCCTACCTGAGCACAACGCACTGAACCTTAACCGCCAGATTACATCCCTAGCGAACCTGACGAAGTCGCCGTCTCTTCTCCTATTTTATGTAAAACTGCTGCCTGTGGAATAGGAGGTTTGGGTTGTGTTGGCTGGATGGTTTCTTCTTTTGTTTTCTTTCCGTTTGTTGATTGGTTGGTTGCTTTCCTGATTTGTTCCAGGTGATTTTACTGGGGGTAGGCATTCAGGAGGTTGGAATATGTCTGATCCAGGAGGGGTATCCATTGATTATTGATTTGGGATGCTGTCTCCTCCATTCTTGACTGGGATTTTTGGGGGGCTGAGAAGTTTTGCTTTTCCCGCTGAGGATGAGTTGGATAGATGTCTGTGTGTGAGGGAGGGACGTTCCTAGTCCCCACTCACACAGTTATGAGATTGCAGATGGGACTGCTCTATGCTATTTTAGATGTGGGAGGGGAGTTAGAGCCAGGTCTATGAATGAATAAACACAGTGTCATGCCTGTCCAGTGGAAAGATTGTTAGGAAGAGGAAGCTCTGGCCATGTCTCCTTCAGACACATTGAGGTCGGGTAATAAAACCAAGCGTGTGTCCCACCAAACTGTTGTTGTGTGTCACATTTTCTCAGCTGTTGCGCTTGGTTTTCCGTGTGGTGACCAAATTGTACTGGACATGGGGGAGACTGGCTGGTCACTCAACTTCTCTGCGTTGGTGGCCCAGGCGGATGTGGTAGGGAAGGGTGGTGCTGGAGCGGGGCAATCAGGTGAGTCTATGCAAAGAGAGGGGCAGGGTCATGGTGGGACCTGAGAGCACAGACATGCAGTTGCAACCTGGTTAGCCCAACAGTTGGAATTCAGACTTTCACTTGGATGGGTTTGTTTGGATTTGGCAAATGGAGCCTCTCAGTGTGTCTAGATCGTAGAGAGAGAGAGAAAGGTGGTGAATCCCAGAATCCCAGAGTGGGCAGAGACCTCAGGAGTCATCCAGTCCCGACCCTGCCCAAAGCAGGACCAACCCCAACTCAGTCATCTCTGCCAGGGATTTGTCAAGTTGAGACTTAAACACCTCTAGAGATGGAGATTCCAAGACCTCCCTAGAGAACCCATCCCAGCGCTTCCCCATCATCCTAGGGAAATAGCCAACCTAAACCTTCCCCACTGTAACTTGAGACCTTTGCTCCTTGTTCTGCCATCTGTCACTACTGAGAACAGCCTCTCTCCATCCTCTTTGGATCCTCCCTTCAGGAAGTTGAAGGCTGCTCTCAAATGCCCCCTCACTCTTTGCTTCTGCAGTCTATACAAACCCAATTACCTCATACTCTCCTCATAGGTCATGTGCTCAAGCCCTCTAATCATTTTGGTCACCCTCTGCTGGACCCTCTCCAATGCGTCCACATCCTTTCTATGGTGGGGGCCCCAGAACTGGACACAATACTCCAGATGTGGCCTCACAGAGCTGAATAAAGGGGAATAATCACATCTCTGGATCTGCTGGCAATGCTCCTCTCTTGGCTACAAGGGCACACTGTTGACTCATATTCAGCTTCTCATCCACTCTAATCCCCAGGCCTTTTTCTGCAGAACAACTACTTAGCCAGTCAGTCCCCAGCTTGTAACAATGCTTGGGAATCTTCCGTCCCAAGGGCAGGACTCTGCCTCATCAGATTTCCTTTTTTTTAAAGAATAAATCATAAGTATTTGGGGCTCTGCCAGTAGAGTGATTTCACTGATCACACAGAAGACAATTGTACAACACCGAGATCCTATTATTACTGGAAGATTCACCCTGTGTTGTTTGCATTTCTCAGGGCAGGGGGATGGAGGAGACAGGGCGGAGCAAAGAGGTGTGGGGTTCCCAAGGCAGTGGGTGGTAGGAGTAGCAATCAGGGCAGGGGGTTGGCAGGGAAAGAAAGAAAGAAAGAAAGAAAGAAAGAAAGAAAGAAAGAAAGAAAGAAAGAAAGAAAGAAAGAAAGAAAGAAAGAAAGAAAGAAAGAAAGAAAGAAAGAAAGAAAGAAAGAAAGAAAGAAAGAAAGAAAGAAAGAAAGAAAGAAAGAAAGAAAGAAAGAAAGAAAGAAAGAAAGAAAGAAAGAAAGAAAGAAAGAAAGAAAGAAAGAAAGAAAGAAAGAAAGAAAGAAAGAAAGAAAGGGAATTATGTTGTTTACTCAGTGGCAGTTGAAAATCAGACCCCAAATATTTCTGTACCCAGCTCTCCCCCAAAGAGCTGTCTGCAGGGGAGCAGGTCCGTCCTTAGCCATTAAATGTTTCACTCTGGTGATGAGCATCCTGGAGACGTTGTTCAGATGGTGCAGGCGGGGGAGGAATGTTTCACTCGGGCGCTGACTCCCAGGCACAGACCACAGGCTGGAAACTCCTTCCCAGGTCGGTCCCTGGCTGAGGGGGATAAATGTCGCCCCCTCCCTCCAGTCCCAAAGGCCACTGGCCCCCTCTGGACACAGGCTGCATGGTTCTCTCTGTGTCGAACCTGCTTTGAACACAACCCAGAGCTGCCAGCCTGTCGCCTCCAGCCCCTACGTCGCAGGATCCACCCCTGAGCCTATCCTGTGGTGGGACCTCTGGTGGCTGCTCCCCAGAGCTGCTGATGCAACGTGGAGATGGGGGAGGAGGGGTTGGCTCACTCTGAGATAATTAGACAGCGTTAACGAAGCACCAGGCTGCTCCAGGCAGCGAAGGGACAGGAGCCCTCGGCTGCTCTAGACCATGCCGGGCTGTGACTATCCATCGAACCCAGCCCAGCCAGGATCCCCTCCCCGCACAAACCGGGATCAGCTCCAGAGCCGGGAAGGACTTTAGTCCCACATCCCTGGTACTTCCCCTCCCACCCAGCCTGTCCACGGGGGTGCAGGGAGCCCGTCTCAGGAGCAGGTCCCCATCTGCCAGGGGCTGTCAGAAACCCAGCCATGCCAGGAGACAGGGAAGATGCACAAAGCAGAGAGGGACCAGGGCTGAGGACTCTGGACTTGTAAATGCCTCCCACGCCCGGACACCTCCCCACGACCGGCCCGGTGAGTTTGGCGATGGGATGTGGGGAGGGGTTCACATGCTGGGTACATGGTGTGACTCTGTCTGGAAGGGGAGATTGGGGTGACAGCGCACTGACCTGCGATCGCACACCCGGCACAGCGCGGGGTGTCCTCTTCCCCAGCCAGGGCAAAATGGGCTTTTCGTGGAAATCATGGAACCGATCACACTCGGTCTCGTTCTGTGAAACGCCGGCAGCGTCACCTGACAAGTGCGGAACACTCAGTTAGATTTATTAGAAACTGGGGACAGTTTTGGGTGAGGGGCAGCCTAGACAGGAAGGACGGGCTCCACCTCAACCAGGGTGGATCCAGATTGCTGGCACTAAACATTAAGAAGGTTGTAGAGTAGTTTTTAAACTAAGAGATGGGGGAAAGCTGCTTGGTGTGGAGGCGTGTCCTCTTCCCCAGCCAGGGCAAAATGGGCTTTTCGTGGAAATCATGGAACCGATCGCACTCGGTCTCGTTCTGTGAAACGCCTCCAGCATCAGCCGACAAGTGCGGAACACTCAGTTAGATTTATTAGAAACTGGGGACAGTTTTGGGTGAGGGGCAGCCTAGACAGGAAGGACGGGCTCCACCTCAACCAGGGTGGATCCAGATTGCTGGCACTAAACATTAAGAAGGTTGTAGAGTAGTTTTTAAACTAAGAGATGGGGGAAAGCTGCTTGGTGTGGAGGCGCATGTGGATCAGACAGAGAAGTCTCTTAGAGGAGAGTCCATTGATGGAGATTCTCTAGGTGTTAGTCGGAAAGAGAGGAGGGGAGATGATAAAGTATGGGCCAGATCAGACAAGAAACAATCACATATACAAGAATCTAATACATCGGGGAAGGGCAGACAGATAAACAGTGACAATTTAAAGTGCTTCTGCACAAATGCTAGAAGTCTAAGTAATAAGATGGGTGAACTCGAGTACCTCGTATTCAAGGAGGAGTTTGACATAATAGGCATCACAGAAACCAGGTGGAATCAGGACAATCAGTGTGGGACACAATCATAACGGGCTATAAAATACATTGGAAGCACAGACCAGGCCGTGCGGGTGGCGGAGTGGCACTGTATGTGAAAGATAACGTAGAATCAAATGAAGTAAAAATCTTAAATGAATCAACATGTTCCATAGAATCGCTATGGATAGTAAATCCCTTCTCTGATAACAATATAGCAGTAGGGATCTATTATCGACCACTTGACCAGGACAGTGATAGTGATGTTGAAATGCTGAGGGAGATTAGAGAGTCTATAAAAGTAAACAACTCAATAATAATGGGGGATTTCAATTATCCCCATATTGACTGGGTAAATGTCACCTCCCGACGAGATGCTGAGATAAAATTTCTTGATGCCTTAAATGAACAGAAACCCACATGGTCTATGTAGCACTTTAAAGACTAAGAAGATGGTTTATTAGGTGATGAGCTTTCGTGGGCCAGACCCACTTCCTCAGATCCTCAGATGTTACTATAATAACATTTAACATTCCTGTGGTGGGAAGAACACCTCAGCAGTCCAACACTCTGGCATTTAATTTCAAAAAGGGGAATTATGTAAAAATGAGGAGGTTTGTTAAACAGAAATTAAAAGGTTCAGTAACCAGAGTAAAATCCCTGCAAGCTGCATGGTATCTTTTTAAAGACACCGTAATAGAGGCCCAACTTAAATGTATACCCCGAATTAAAAACATAGTAAGAGACCTAAAAAAGAGCCACCGTGGCTTAACAACCATGTAAAAGAAGTAGTGAGAGATAAAAAGGCATCTTTGAAAAAGTGGAAGTCCAATCCTAGTGAGGTAAATAGAAAGGAACATAAACACTGTCAAATTAAGTGTAAAAATGTCATAAGAAAAGCTAAAAATGATTTTGAGGCACAGCTAGCTAAAAACCTCGAAAAGTAATAGCAAAATGTTTTCTAAGTCCACTAGAAGCAGGAAGCCTGCTAAAAAACCAGTGGGGTCCCTAGACGATCGAGATTCAAAAAGAGCAATCAAGGACGATAAAGCCATTGTGGAGAGACTAAATGATTTCGTTGCTTCAGTCTTCACACCTGAGAATATGAGGGAGATTCCCAGACCTGCACCGTCCTTTATGGGTGATAAATCTGAGGAACTGCCCTGGATTGACGTGTCATTAGAGGAGATTTTGGAACAAATAGAAAAACTTAACTAACAAATCATCGGGACCGGATGGCATTCACCCAAGGGTTGTGAAAGAACTCAAATGAGAAATTGTGGAATTATTAACTGTGGTTTGTGACCTTTCCTTTAAATCAGTTTCTGGAAGACAGCTAACATAACGCCAATATTTAAAAAGGGCTCTAGAGGCGACCCTGCCAATTACAGGCCAGTAAGTCTAACGTCAGTACCGGGCAAATTAGTTGAAACAATACTAAAGAATGAAATTGTCAGACACGTAGAAGAACATAATTTGTTGGGCAAAAGTCAACATGGTTTCTGTAAAGGGAAATCATGTCTTACTAAGCTATTAGAGATCTTTGAAGGGGTAAACAAATATGTGGACAAAGTGGATGCAGTAGATACAGTGTACTTAGATTTTCAGAAAGCCTTTGACAACGTCCCTCACCAAAGGCTCTTGTGTAAATTAGGTTGTTGTGGGATAAGAGGGAAGCTCCTTTCATGGATTGAGAACTGGTTAAAAGACAGGAAACTAAGGGCAGGAATAAATGGCACATTTTCATAATGGAGGAGGTAACTAGTGGTGTCCCCCAAGGGTCAGTCCTAGGACCAGTCCTATTCTACTTATTCATAAACGATCTAGAGAAAGGGGTGAACAGTGAGGTGGCAAAGTTTGCAGACGATACTAAACTGTTCAAGATAGTCAAGACCAAAGCAGACTGTGAAGAACTTCAAAAAGATCTCACCAAACTGAGTGATTGGGCAACACAATGGCAAATGAACTTTAACGTGGGTAAGTGTAAAGTAATGCACATTGGAAAAACTAACCCCAACTATACATACAATATAATGGGGGCTAATTTAGCTACAACTAATCAGGAAGGAGATCTGGGAGTTATCATGGATAGTTCTCTGAAAACGGACACGTAGTATTCAGAGGCAGTCAAAAAAGCAAATAGGATGCTACGAATTGTTTAAAAAGGGATAGAAAATAAGACGAAGACTATCTCACTGCCCCTATATAAAATGATGGTATGCCTACATCTTGAATACTACGTACAGATGTGGTCTCCTCACCTCAAAAAAGACAATTAGGCATTAGAAAAGGATCAGAGGGGTTTGGAACGGTTCCCCTATGAAGAGAGGCTAAAGAGACTGGGACTTTTCTGTTTACAAAAGAGGAGAATGAGGGGTGATATGATAGAGGCCTATAAAATCACGGGTGGTATGGAGAAGGTTATACACTTTTTCCCACAATAGAAGAACAAGAGGACACCAAATGAAATTAATGGGTAGCAGTTTTAATTGTAATAAATAAAGTTGCTCTTCACTCAGTACACTGTCAACCTGTGGAACTCCTTTCCAGGGGAGTCTGTGAAGGCTAGGGCTATAACAGAGTTTAAAGAGAATCTAGATAAATTCATGGAGGTTGGGTCCATACATGGAGTCCCTAGGAAACCCCCTTTCCTTTGAAGGAATTTAAGTGGGGTGATATTGGCCACCCCACCTGGAGACGTTGCGCTGGAAGCCCGCCCGGTCACACTGAGATTCTTCAGGGAGGGCGCAATGTGGAACCCATTCACACCGTTCCCGTGGTGTTTAGTTCTGTCCCAAAGAGATGCTGTCTGATGCTAAATCTTAGACAATGAAGCTAAGCAGGTTGCTCTCCTCAGCCGTATCCCCTTCTAGCGGAAAGGATAGTCTGAGCCCCCCAGCTCAATATCCATTGTGCTTCCACCTGAGAACACAGGGAAGGCCAACGTTGTTCGGGTATGTCTAAACTAAGCACTAATTCCAACTAACTTAATTCAAATTAGTTAATTCAAATGAAGCTAATTCGAACTAGTGCATCTAGACCTAAAAACTAGTTCGAATTAGCATGTCCACATTGAGTGGACCCTGAACCGAAGTTAAGGCTGGCTGGAAGCAGTGCCGGCAGGGCATCAGGGCAGTAGATTTATGCCCATGGTCACAGCCGGAGGTTTGAACCCATAAGGGTTCCTCTCTGCCACAGCCGTTGAGTTGGGATTTCACTTGACTCCCTGCTCCAACGGCATTTCATCCAGCCCCATCCTGAGCCTCCCCCAGATCTTCACAGGGGCAGTCGGACACAGCTCCAGGGACTGTTCAGGAGCCAGGCCCAGAGACACCAGGTGGAAACTCACCGCCCCTCAGGAGGAGCTGGGACAGGTGCTCGGCATGGGGGACACCCACCGCATGAGAGGCTGGTGCGGGAATCCAGGCCATTCCAGGTCTCGCTCTGATCCCCACCCTGTCTGTGTCCTCTGCAGGCACCACACACTGAACTGAGAAAAAAAATGTCCAACGGAAGCACCGTGACCGAGTTCCTGCTCCTGGGCTTCTCTGACGTCCGGGAGCTGCAGGTTTTGCAATTTGTAGTGTTTCTAGTGATGTACCTGACAACCCTGGTGGGGAACCTTCTCATCATCTCAGCCATCATCCTTAACCATCATCTTCACACCCCCATGTACTTCTTCCTGGCAAACCTGTCCATCCTGGACCTCGGCTCCGTCTCAGTCACCATCCCCAAATCCATGGTCAACTCCCTCCTGGACACCAGGTCCATTTCCTACCTGGCCTGTGTCGCCCAAGTCTTTCTCTTTGTCGACTTCACATCAACTGATTTTGCCCTTCTCACCATCATGGCCTACGACCGACACGTCGCCATCTGCCACCCGCTGCACTACGAGAGAGTGATGAACAGGAGATCTTGTGTCCACATGGCCATTAGTGCCTGGATCACTACTGCGATCTACTCTGCCATACACACCGGGTACACCTTCCGGTTACCCTTCTGCCACTCCAATGTAATTGACCAGTTCTTCTGTGATATCCCCCAGCTCCTCAAGCTGGCCTGTTCCAGCTCCTACCGCAGTGAAATTGGGGTTATTGGCTTTGGTGTCTTGTTATATTTAACCTGCTTTCTCTTCATCATTGTGTCTTACGTCCAGATCTTCAGAGCGGTGCTGAGAATCCCCTCGGAGCAGGGCCGGCACAAAGCCTTCTCCACCTGCCTCCCCCACCTCACTGTGGTCTCTTTGTTACTTTGCACTGGGTCCTTTGCCTACCTGAAACCCCCCTCCAGCTCTCCGTCAGCCCTGGATCTGGTGTTGGGTGTTCTCTATGCCGTAGCCCCTCCCATGATGAACCCTGTCATCTACAGCCTGAGGAACAAGGAGCTCAAGGCTGCCCTGAAGAAACTCTTTATGGGAAGGTTATTCTCCAAGAGTTGAAATGTCCGTCATTGCTCCTTGACTGTGATTTCCCCCTCTGTTTCCGTCTGATCAGCAGGTCACCAAATAGCATCAATAAGAGCACAAGGTGCAATCAGTTCATAAAGTAGGAAAATCCCGACAAAGTCCATTGAATGAATCCTAGTTATTTAAGGAAGGATCACTCCAGTGTGAATGAGATCAGAGTCTACGAGTGTTTTCATAAATCCTTCCACACATCTGAGTATCATTTTATAAATTTACACTTGCAGACCCTGCATCCTACCCTGGCCCAGTGCACTGAACCTCAACAGGCAAAGCTACGTCCTAGCGAACGTCATGACGTCTCCATCTCCTCTCCTGTTTTGATGCATCCCCGGATGCTTGGGAAATGGGAGGTTTGAGTTTTGTTGGCTGGATGGTTTCTTTTTTTGTTTTCTATAGGTTGGTTCCTTTGCTGATTTATTCCAGGTGGCGTTGCAGGGATTAGTAGTTAGAAAGGTTGGAATATGTCTGATCCAAGAGTGGTGTCAATTCTTCATTGATTCAAGGTACCATCTCCTCCTTGCTTGCCTGGGATTTTTGGAGGGCTGAGACAATTTGCTTCTCAGAAGAATAAAATTGTCAGACACGTAGAAGAACATAATTTGTTGGGCAAAAGTCCACATGGTTTCTGCAAAGGGAAATCCTGTCTTACTAATCTATTAGAGTTTTGTGAAGGGGTCAAGAAACATGTGGAGAAGGGGGATCCAGTAGTTATAGTATACTGAGATTTCCAGAAAGCCTTTGACAAGGTCCCTCACCAAAGGCTCTTGTGTAAATTTGGTTGTCATGGGATAAGAGGGAAGATCCTTTCATGGATTGAGAATTGGTTAAAAGACCGGAAACAAAGGGGAGGAATAAATAGTAAATTTTCAGAATGGGGAGGTGTAACTAGTCCAAGGATCAGTCGTAGGACCAATCCTACTCAACATATTCATAAACGATCCAGAGAAAGGGGTAAGCAGTGAGGTGGCAAAGTTTGATCATAGTCAAGTTTGTTCAAGATTGTCAAGATAGAAGCTGACTGTGAAGAATTTCAAAAAGATCTCACCAAACTGAGTAACTGGGCAACAAAACGGCAAATGAAATTTAATGTGGGTAAGTGTAAAGTAATGCACATTGGGAAAAATCCCCCCAACTAGACATACAATATAATGGGGGCTAATTTAGCCACAGCTGATCAGGAAAGAGATCTGGGAGTTATCATGGATAGTTCTCTGAAAATGTCCATGCAGTGTGCAGCGGCAGTCAAAAAAGCAAATTGGTTGCTAGTGTACGCAGGAGATGAACTGCTGCTTGCTATCAGCCAGCTAAAAGGAAGGGTGGGTGTGCCCACGACAGGGCTACGTCAAGACTGGCATGATTTTCCGGAAATGCTTTTAACGGAAATGTTTTCCGTTAAAAGCATTTTCGGAAAAGCGTGTTTAGATTGGCACGGACGCTTTTACGCAAAAGCACTTTTTGCGGAAAAGCATCTGTGGCCAATCTAGACGCTCTTTTCCGCAAAAAAGCCCCGATCGCCATTTTCGCAATCGGGGCTTTTTTGCGGAAAACAAATCTGAGCTGTCTACACTGGCCCTCTTGCGCAAAAGGGACTTTTGCCCGAACGGGAGCAGCATAGTATTTCCGCAAGAAGCAGGAAGTCAGTGCTTTTGCAGAAATTCAAGCCGCCAGTGTAGACAGCTGGCAAGTTTTTCCGGAAATGCGGCTGATTTTCCAGAAAAACTGGCCAGTCTAGACACAGCCCTAGTGTTTGTAATAAAGCAATTTTCTGTGTACAAAGAAAAGTGGGTCTTCTCTGTGTTCTGAATGGGAAGAGAGTGCGGGTTGTGGAGGGAAAGGTAGGGGTAAGCCAGGCCGATCCCGCCAAGAGGCAGGCCCTGGGGAGGGTCAGTGGGCTCCTTCTGAGAATCTCTCCCACATGGCCTCTCGGATTTAGACACCAACCTGGTGAGCCTGGCGGATGGCAGCTATCCAGGGCTGCTGAAATGGCCTTTCCTCGCCATCAGCACCTGTCCCCCACCCCGGCAGGAAGGCCTCCCCTTCCCTCTCCTCCAGGTTATGGAGGGCACAACATGTGGCCACCACCTTTGGGATGTTGCATTCCCCCATCTCCAGGCGTGTGAGGAGGCAACGGAACCTCCCTTTCAGCCGGCCAAAGGCGCATTCCACCTGGATGTGAGCCTGGCTAAGATGTGTGTTGAAAAGCTCCTTGCTCACATCCAGGTGGCTGGTGTAGGGCTTCATGAGCCATGGCATCAGGGGGGTAGGCTGCATCGGCCACTATGCACACCGGAATCTGCACGTCCCCGAGTGTGAGGTGTTGTCACGTTACTGGATTTTGAGGGGAGCAGCCAGATCGCTGTTGCACCCATAGGTGGGGGTGTTGGCCCCAGAAAATGGTATAAAAGGGGGGCCATGTGGGGTGTTGAATAGAAGCTCACTGTCTGCTAATCCTATGTACGCTGTTCATGTGTTTGTATAATGTCTGTGTGTGCAATTACAGGTGAGGAGCGGCAGCAGGTGCCCAGCGGAGCATCCAGTGGTGTGGGATGAGACAGCTGGTGGAGCGTGGCGGAGTTTTGTATCCCCCTATCTATCCCTCCACCCCCATTTCTACCCAGGTTGGGAGGTGAAACCTTGCAGGTGAACTTTGGGGCTCTGGGTGGCACGGTCCAGGGACAGAGACCTTTGGGGTGTCAGACACTTTGGACTTCGGGCGATTCTTGGCTGTGGGGGGAGCTTAGCTCATGTTTGGGTTCTGAACTCTGTTTGTGGTGTTTTCCCCAAGTTAATGCCGTATGACTTCTCTCTCTGTTTCATTAAATGTTTCTTTCCTACACTCAGACTCAGTGCTTGCGAGTGGGAAGCATTGCCTCTCAGAGACACCCAGGGGTGCGTGAATTTCCCAGATTACTGGGTGGGGGCTTGAGCCGGTTCTATGTGAAATGGACCCCAAGATATTGAACCCAGCCCTGGTTACTGCCAGGCCTACCCGGCAGAAGGGTTACACTAGGTATTATTAAAAAGGGATTGAAAATAAGACGAAGAATATCTCACTGCCCATATATAAAATGACGGTATGCCCACATCTTGAATACTGTGTAACGATGTGGTCTCCTCACCTCAAAAAAGATATTTTGGCCTTGGAAAAAGGTTCAGAAAAGAGCAACTCAAATGATTAGGGATTTGGAACGGGTCCCCTATGAGGAGAGGCTAAAGATCCTGGGACTTTTCAGTTTAGAAAAGAGGAGGCTGAGGGGGGATATGAGAGAGAGATATAAAATCATGAGTGGTGTGGAGAGGGTAAATAAAGAAAAGTTATTTACTTGTTCCCATGATATAAAAACTAGAGGACACAAAATGAAAATAATGGGCAGCTGGTTTAAAACGAATAAAAGAAAGTTCTTCTACACACAGCGCACAGTCAACCTGTGGAACTCCTTGCCAGAGGAGGCTGTGAAGGCTAGGACTATAAGAGAGATTAAAAAAGAGCTAGATAAATTCATAGAGGTTAGGTCCATAAAAGGTTATTAGCCAACGGGTAGGAATGGTGCCCTGGCCAGTGTCTGAAGGATGGCAGGAGACAAATTGCTTGGCCATTGTCTTTGGCCCACCTCCTCTAGGGCAACTAACATTGGTCGCTGTCGGCAGACAGGACACGGGGCTGGATGGACCTTCGGTCTAACTCCGTCTGGCCGCTCTCATGTTCCCCCGGCGAGGATGAATCGGGTAAAAGTCTGCGTGGGAGGGAGGGACGTTCCTAGTCCCACTCACACAGCGATGCGAGGGCGGATGGGACGGCCCCGCGCTAGCTCAGATGTGGGAGGGGACCTAGAGCCACGTCTAGGAATGAATAAACACCGGGCCACTCCCAGAGGAAGCTCTGGAGATGTCTCCTTCAGAAACATTCAGGCTGGGGAAGAAAACCAAAGATGTGTCCCAGCAGTTCTTGCTGCCTCCTCCTGCTGTCTGATATTTCTTCAGCTATTGCTGACTAGCGGGTCACTCAACTTACTGCGGAGGGAAGAGCTGCGGGGACCACCCGTGGCAGGGCCTGTTCAGAAATCCCTGCCGGTGGCCACAGTAGGCGTGGTTGGGAAGGACGGTCCTTGGAGGGGGCAGCCAGGGGACTCCTCACCAGGAGAGGGGCCATTTCACGGGGAGACCTGAGGGCCCAGACGTGCAGTGCTAGCCGGGCATCCCTGAGAGTTGGGATTCAGCCTTTCACTTGGAAGGGTGGTTTGGATTTGGCCACAGGGGCTGAGCCACACAAGCATTTCAGTGAGTCTAGATCGTGGAGATGGGGAGGAGGGGTGAATCATGGAATCACAGAATCCCAGGGCTGGCAGAGACCTCAGGAGTCATTGAGTCCATCCACCTGCCCAAAGCAGGACCAACCCAACTCAATCATCCCAGCCAGGGCTTGGTCAAGCCGGGACTTAATCACCTCTAGGGATGGAGATTCCACCCCCACCCTAGGAAACCCATCCCAGTGCTTCCCCACCCGCCTAGGGAAATAGTTTCCCTGCCCAAGGCAGGACCAATCCCAACTAGATCAACCCAACCAGAGACCTGTTAAGCTGGGACTTAATCACCTCTAGGGATGGAGATTCCACCCCCACCCTAGGAAACCCATCCCAGTGCTTCCCCACCCTCCTAATGAAATAGTTTTTCCTAATATCCAACCTAGACCTCTCCCACTGCAACTTGAGCCCATTGCTCCTCGTTCTGCATCTGCCCCCACTGAGAACAGCCTCTCTCCAGCCTCTTTGGAACCCCCTTCAGGAAGTTGCAGGCTGCTCTCAAATCCCCCCTCACTCTTCTCTTCGGCAGACCAAACAACCCCAAATCCCTCAGCCTCTCCTCATAGGTCATGTGCTCCAGCACCCGAATCATTTTGGTTGCCCTCCGCTGGACCCTCCCCAGTGCGTCCACATCCTTTCTGTAGTGGGGAGCCCAGAACTGAACACAACAATCCAGATGTGGCCTCACCAGAGCTGAATAAAGAGGAACCATCACTTCCCTAGATCTGCTGGCAATGCTCCTCCTAAGGCAACCTAATATTCCATAAGCCTTTTTGGCTACAAGGGCCCCGTGTTGACTCACATCCAGCTTCTCATCCCCTGTAATAAATGTTAAGTAATGCCCATTGGAAAAAAATCACAACTAGGTGCACAATGTGATGGGGACTAATTTGGCTACAAGTACTCAAGAGAGATTTTGGACTCATTGTGGAGAGTTCTGTGAAAACATCCACTCCGTGTGCAGTGGCATCCGAAAAGCAAATAGAATGTGAGGAATCATTAAAAAAGGGTCAAGAATAAAACGGAGAATATCTTATTGCCTCTGTATAAAACCATGGCACACCCACATCTTGACTACTGCATACAGATGTGGTTGCCTCATCTCATAAAGATATGTTGGCTTTGGAAAAGGTGCAGAAAAGAGCATCAAAAAAGAGGAAGGGTTTGAAGTGGGTCCCATAAGAAGAGAGATTAAAAAGACTGGGACTTTTCAGCTGAGAAAAGCGGAGACTGAGGAGGGATAGGAGAGACGTCTATAAAATCATGACTGGTGTGGAAAAAACCAATATGGAAGAGTTATTGACTTGTGTCTGTGACATAAGAACTAGGGGTCACCAAATGAAATTAATAGGTAGCAGGTTTAAAACCAAAGGATGTTTCTCTTCATGCAGAGCACGGTCAACCTGTGGAACTGCTTGCCAGAGGATGCGGTGAAGGCGAGAACTTTAATAGGTTTCCAAAAAGAGCTGGATACATTCATGGCGGTTAGGTCCATCAATGGACATTTGCCAGGATGGGTAGAATGGTGTCCCTGGCCTCTGTTTCCCTGTTGGTGGGCGACAGGGAGGGATCATGTGAGGATTCCCTGTTGTGTCCCCTCCGTCGGGGTCTTCTGGCATTGGCCAGTGTTGGCAGAAAGGACTCTGGGCTCGATGGACATTTGGTCTGACCCAGTCTGGCCGTTCTTATATTCGTATGATCTGATGTAATCCCCAGGGCTTTTTGTGCTGAATTGCTGCTTAGTCAGTGGGTCCCCAGCCTGTTACAATACTTGGGATTCTTCCGTCCCGAGGACAGGACTCTGCACGTGTCCTTGTTCAACCTCATTAGATTACTTTTAGCCCAATCGTCCCATTTGTCTAGGTCGCTCTGGACACTACGTACCTACCTACCAGCGTATCTACCTCTCCCACAAGCTAAGTGTCACCCGCAAACTTGCTGAGGGTACGTTTACACTTGCTCCCTAGTTCGAGCTAGGGATGCAAAGGTAGGCAACCAAAATTGCTAATGAAGTGGGGATTTAAATATCCCATGTCTCATTAGCATGAGCTCGCCAGCACATTACTCTGCTCAATGGCTGATTTGAAGCAGGAAGTTCGTTCCAGGATGCGTTAGTTCACATCAAACCCCTTGATTCGAACTAACGTTATTCCTAAAAAATGGGCCAGGTGAGTGGAAGGAGATAGATAGATAGGGTATGTCTACACTAAAAAGTTAATTCGAACTAACAGACGTTAGTTCGAATTAACTTTGATAGGCGCTACACACGCGAACCGCTAGTTTGAACTTAATTCGAACTAGCAGAGCGCTTAATTCAAACTAGGTAAACCTCATTCCACGAGGACTAACGCCTAGTTCGAATTAAGTAGTTCGAATTAGTGCTGTAGTGTAGACATACCGATAGATAGATAGATAGATAGATAGATAGATAGATAGATAGATAGATAGATATCTGTTCTTAGCCATTAAACGTTTCACTCTGGTGATGAACCACTCCGGACACAGGCTCCGTGGTGCTGTTTGGGACGACCCCGCTTGGGACCCTGCCCTGAGCCGGGGCCAGCCCCGAGCCGGCCCCGTGATGGTCCCCTTGGTGGCTGCTCCCCAGAGCTGATAATGCAACGTGGGAGGGCGGAGGGGGTGGCTGCTCACTCAGAGATAATTAGGCAGCGTTAACGAAGCACCAGGTTGCTCCAGGCAGTGAAGGGACCGGAGCCCTCGGCTGCTCTAGGCCAGGCCGGGCTGTGACTATCCATCGAATCCAGCCCAGCCAGGGACGGGGTCTGAGGCCAGGACAGGTCGGGACCAGCTCCAGAGCTGGGAAGAGTTTTCCTTCCCACATCCAGAAAACGGGCCACAGGAAACCCCCTTTCCTTTGAAGTAATTTCAGGAGGACGATACAGGCCCCTCCAGCACGAGACATTTCACTTGAAGCCCGTGAGGGCACATGACTATTGCCCACCAATGGCGCCGTGTTCAGCCCATTCTGTTTGCTTCTGTTTCAAAGCAACCCTGTCAGGCTGCTCGATCTTGGAGCGTGCAGCTAAGTTGCAGTCCCACCGCGGATGTATCAGCCACCTCAGACCTTTCCAGCCGGGCACAGGGGTTGAAACCCCCCAGCCAAGGACTGTGCGTCTTGACTCTGCCCGAGAACACGGAGAAGGCCAACGCTGTTAGCACCTAGACCTCCTCTTCCATGTCGGTGTCCTCTGTGCCTCCCTGCTGCCAGTGACGCACCCGCTGCCGGCAGGGGCACAGTGCGGACACACGATGAGGCAAAGCCCATCCCCACAGGGCTTGCCAGACTAAACACAAGGCGGAGCAAGGGAAGAGGGGAAACTGAGGCAGAGGGCGGGGTAGTGACTGGCCCACATTCACACAGCAGCTCCGTGTTTCACGTCCAAGGTCACAGCCGGCGGGTCGAGCCCAGAGGGGGTTTGTCTCCGCCAGAGCTGTTGTGTTGGGATTTGACTTGGCTCCTTGCCCCAACAGCATTAAATCCAGCCTCGTCCTGAGCCAGCCCCCGATCTGCACAGGGGCAAACGGAGGCAGCACCATGGACTGTAGGGGAGCCAGGCCAATAGACACCCGTGTGGTCACTCTCCACCCTCAGTGAGTAGCAGGGACGGGGCTGGGAATGGTGGACACCCACAGCACGAGAGGTGGCCAAGGAGAATCGGGGCCATTCCATGTATCAGCCTAATCCCCACCCGTCTGTATCCTTCCCTCTGCAGCCGTCACACCGCCTGCTGAAGAAGAAAATGCTGAACCAAACCACCGTGACCGAGTTCCTGCTCCAGGGTTTCTCTGATGTCCGGGAGCTGCAGGTGTTGCACTTTGTGGTGTTTCTAGTGATGTATCTGGCAGCCCTAATGGGGAACCTTCTCACCATCTCAGCTGTCGTCCTTGACGACTGTCTGCACACCCCCATGTACTTCTTCCTGGTGAACCTTTCCATCCTGGACCTCGGCTCCATCTCCGTCACCATCCCCAAGTCCATGGTCAACTCCCTCCTGGATACCAGGTCAATTTCCTATCCTGCCTGTGTCGCCCAAGTCTTTCTCTTTGTTGTCTTCACATCAACTGATTTTGCCCTTCTCACTGTCATGGCCTACGACCGAGAGAGAGTGATGAACAGGAGAGCCTGTGTCCACATGGCCGCTGGAGCCTGGATCGCTGGTATTGTCAACTCCGCCGTGCACACCGGGAACACCTTCCGGTTACCCTTCTGCCAGTCCAACGTCCTCAACCAGTTCTTCTGTGAAATCCCCCAGCTCCTCAAGCTGGCCTGCTCCGATTCCTATCACAGTGAAGTTGGGCTCATCGCCTTCAGTGTGTTTTTAGGTTTAAACTGCTTTGTTTTTTTTATTGTGTCTTATGTTCAGATCTTCAGAGCGGTGCTGAGAATCCCCTCGGAGCAGGGCCGGCACAAAGCCTTCTCCACCTGCCTCCCCCACCTCGCTGTGGTCTCCTTGTTCCTTTGCACTGCATTCTTTGGCTACCTGAAGCCCCCCTCCACTGCTCCGTCAGGACTGGATCTGGTGGTGGGTGTCCTCTACGCCGTGGTGCCTCCTATGATAAACCCCGTCATCTACAGCATGAGGAACAAGGAGCTCAAATCTTCCCTGAAGAAACTCTTTGTGGGGAGGTTATTCTCCAAGAATTGAAACGTCCTTCATTGGTCCTTGACTGTGATTTCTCCTCTGTGATTATTTCTAATCAGCTGGTCACCAAATACCATCAATGAGACCCCTAGGTGCAATCCATTCATGAGGTAGAAAGATCCAGACTAATCCCATTGAATGAAATCCTAGCTAGTTAGGGAGAGAACATTCCGGTGTTAATGAGATCAGAGTCAATGTGTGTTTCCATAAATCCTTCCACACATCTATGTATCATTTCATAAATTTACACTTGAATACCCTGAATCCTACCCGAACCCAGTGCACTGAACCTCAAGAGCCAACACTACATCCTAGTGAACATCATGACGTCTCTGTCTCCTCCTGTTTTGGTGGAAAACTGGTGCCTGTAGAATGGGAGGTTTGGCTTGTGTTGCCTTAAAAAAGTCTTCCTTGTTCTGTTTCAGTTTGTTTATTGGTTGGTTAATTTGCTGATTTCTTCCAGGTGGCTTTACAGAGGGTCAGAGTTCGGGAGGTTGGAATACGCTTGATCCGAATGATGGTGTCAATTGACCATTGATTTGAGGTGCCATCTTTTCCTTTCTTGGATGGGATTTTCTGATGGACGTGAAGTTTTGTTTTCCCCAGTGAGGATGAATTGGAAAAAAGTCTCTGTGTGTGGTTGGGAAGTTCCTAGTCTCCCCTCCCCACACACATACACATTTCTGTGAATGTGGATGGGACTGTGACGCACTATTTCAGATGTGGGAGGGTAGCAGGAGCCACATATATTAATGCATAAACATTGCTCTGCTGGAGACCTGTAGGAAAAGGAAGTTCTGGGGATGTCTCCTTCAGACATTTTGAGGCCGGGTAATAAAGCCGAATGTTTGTCCCACCAGACTGTTGTTGTCTCCAATTTTCTCAGATGTTGCATTTGGTTTTCTGTGTGGCCACCAAATTGTACTGGACATGGGGGAGACGGGCTGGGCACTCGACCTACGGCTGAGGGAGGAGCTGCAGGGACCACACATGGAAGGGCCTGGGGAGAAATCCCTGTTGATGGTCACAGTTGGTGTGGTAGGAAAGGACCCCACTATAGAGGAGGGCAACCCGGCAATTCCACACTAATAGAGGGGCCAGTTCCAGGCTGAGGGCCCAGAGATGGGTCTGAGGTGCAGCTGTAACCCGGTCTACCCCTGTGGGACACCAGTTTCATACTGTGTAGGGCCCTGTACATCCTACGAAAGGCCCCGTCCCAACCTGTTCATACCACGATGGCTCACGCAACCCAACAAGAGCGGAATGCCAAGCCGGGCCAGGCTTGTAGAATGACACCTGAAACTTCATACTTCATGCAAAGCATTCCCCACTTGTATGACTGCAGTGAACAGGGGTGGGCAAGGGTTTCCCAACTGTGATTAACTTTAAACAGGAGAGAAGAGCAGTCGATGACTAAATTAAATTAATCCTCAAGCTTTTTGCTTTTGATTGGGGGTGCGGATGGGATTTTCGAGTAGCACAAATTAATCCTCAAGCTTTTTGCTTTTGATTGGGGATGCGGATGGGATTTTCGAGTAGCACATCTCCATGAGGTCAGGGCGGGGTTGTATTTGGCTCACCCAAACCACTACTGTTGCTGTTCCTGATTAGATGGGTATTTCAACCTGGCTCATCACATGGGCAATGTACAAGCAGACTCATGGGTACGTACTTGCGTCTTTAAAAGGGCTTGATTCCCAGAGTGGAAAAGATTTCTAAGCTGAATCAGCTCAAAAGAAAACATTATAAAAATAGTGTCAGAAAAATGTGTATTATAATGGGGACTTCAGTAGAGGCTCCAAACTTCACAATCCTGCAATCGAGGAATAAAGTTATGCTGGTTTAAAATTACTCCTACTCCTACTACTACTACTAATAATTACAATAATTATAATAATAATGAAAAGGGAAGTTCATAGTAATTAATATTCAGAAGCTAGGAGTTATACAAGTGGATCTGGAAGAACCAAGAAATAAATAGAAATGTATTTTCAGCTGAAATAAAGTCAATGAGAAGACATTATTAAAGTGTATTAGGACCAAAGAGGATCCTAAGAACACCATAGGTCCATTACTAGGTGGAAATCACAAAATGATTAGTGACCATGCAGAAAAGGTAGAGATATAGAATAAATATTTCTGTTCTGTTTTGGCAGGGACCGTTTGACGTAGGCATATTATGCGGTATGCTCCTCATTTCTGTAGTATGCCTAGTATATGTTAAAAACAAGTACTGAAATAACGTCGATAAGTATGGCAGGGTAAGTTGTGTCCAAGTGTTTGAAGAGAGCCAACTGGGGAGCTCAAAATTTAATGAGCAGATTTAATGTTTATTTTTAATACATTTTGAACACCAGAGATGTTCGAGAAGAGAAGAAAGCTGATGTTGGGTCAACCCTTACAGGGTTAAATAGAACGACGAGGGTCATTTTAACTTCGTCAGTCTGACATTGACACCGGACAAGGCAAGGCAAGTGTAGTGGCTGATACAGGACTCAATTAATAAAGGAAGATACTATACTTAATACTGATCAACAGGAATTAGTGGAAAATAGATCCTGCCATTTTTAAAGAGTTTCCAAGTTTGGTTGATAAAGGCAATAGACTTCTATAAGGCCTTTATCTGGCTGTCACATGATAATTTGATAAAAAAAAAGACTCGAAAGATGTAAAATGCACATGGCACTCAGTAACTGGATCAAAAGCTGACACACAGAGCGGTCACTAAAAGGGTTTTCACTGAATGGACGTTTCTCTAGTGGGGTCCCTGAGGAATAAGCACTTAGCCATTTTCTGCTTAACCTTTTATTGATAATCTGGAAGAAACATAAAAAGAGAAGAAAGGAAATCATGCCCAATAGGCTACGTCTAGACTAGCATGATTTTCCGCAAATGCTTTTAACGGAAAAGTTTTCCATTAAAAGCATTTTCGGAAAGAGCATCTAGATTAGCACGGACGCTTTTCCGCAAAAGTGCCAATCTAGACGCGCTTTTCCGCAAAAAAGCCCTGATCGCCATTTTCATGATCGGGGCTTTTATGCGCAAAACAAATCTGAGCTGTCTACACTGGACCTTTTATGCAAAAGCTTTTGCTCAAAATGACTTTTGCCCGAACGGGAGCAGCATAGTATTTCTGCAAGAAGCACTGATTTCTTACATGAGATCGTCAGTGTTCTTGCAGAAATTTGACTAGCCAGTGTAGAAAAACTTGCCAGTCTAGACAAAGCCATAATGCTTGTGCATGACAGAAAAGTTGGGGGACCGGTAAATAATGACGAGAGCTGGGCACCCAAAAGGAAGGGTCAGGCCCATTTTCACAATGTCGGAGGAAATTTCTGAGGAACCCAACCAAAATTGTGAGGAGACGTCAAAGCAGAGTTGGGGATCACCCCATAATGGCAATTTCTTCCTCCCCTTTTAGGCCTTCAAAGCAGACTTGGAGTCATCCCATAATGGAAATTTCTTCCTCCCTTTTTAGGCCTCAGTCTTGAAATTTGCCCCTCCCTGCCCTCTCTAGATTTCTGCCTTCCTGGGAATGCCTTTCGAGGGCAGGCTCTCAAACTTTTGGCAGATCACTGACTATATCAGCAGAGACACACCTGGTGGACATGTCGTCTCTCCTTGGTGTTCTCCTCAACTTCCTCTCCTCCCCGACACAAATGTAGACCATCCCCACGGCCCAACCAAGTTCACCCAACATCCCAACGTCAACCGGCTGCCTACTCTTTGGTTCCAATAAAGAGGCAGATAAAATAGATTGGAATTATCATTAATGAGACCCAGCCATAGCTCGGTGACTCCTGAGGTCTCTGCCAGCCTGGGATCTATGATTCAGTGTCAGGACTTCGGGGAGGTTTAGGGCCAGATCCCCAGGTAACAGAAATCCAAGCAGCTCCATTGACACCCAAGGAGGAACCTGCAGATTGCCCAGAACTCAATGGGACTGGATCAGTTAACACACGTTTAGGACGTGGAGTTTTTCTCCAGCTGCTTCTTAGTGGCCATCGTCAAAACATGGGCCAGCCTGTGGGGTCCTCTGGGGGCTGCATCCCATGAGCATCTGGTGCAGCCCCAAGAGGAAGGATTTTAGTCCCGGCTTGACCAAGCCCTGGCTGGGATGGTTGTGTTGGGCTGGTCCTGCCTTGGGCCGGGGGCTGGACTCGGTGACTCCTGAGGTCTCTGCCCACTCAGGGATTTCAGGAACGCAGGAGACCAAACGTCTCTGCTCCCCCAGAGCGGGTTCTGTGGGGCTCAGGGAGGCCCAGGCTGCTCCAGGCCAGCCGGGGCTGTCGGGCCACCGGGCTCTGAGCTGCAGCAGGTCACATCTCTGCTCCCCACACAGAGTTCATTCTGCAATCTCCTTCATCCCCTTTGGGCTTCAGCCCGGCTCTGTCTGCAGCCAGGCTCCTCCCAGGGCCGCTGCCATCGCAGGGCACGTGGGGCTGTTCCCTCAGGGAGTGAGAGGCGGCGGGGGGAGCCTGTCAGGGCGGTTTGCTGCTGGGTGAGATCTCCCCGCCCTGGAGACCGGAGTTGGCTATTTACCCCAGAACAAGCTGGGGCCATGTTGGCAGCTTGTAGCATCCAGGAGCAGGTCAGAGCAGGGAGGGGATTTCTCCTCTTTACTCCATCGCTGCCGGGCCCAGCCTGACTGAGGAGGAGCTGGGAGAAGCTGTCTGTGGGGCGGGGCCCTGCCCGCCAGGAACTGCAGAGACCCAGCGCTCACA